TTTAGATCCATCAGTGTATATAACTTGTGATAACTTATTACTACCAGCTAGGCGAAAAATTTCTTCTTGAGCAGTTGCTCTAACAAGAGATTTAAGGAAGGGATTACTAGCAATGAGCTTCTTGGGAGGGACTTGTAGGTATGTGATATTAAATGAACACATCTTCCATGGAGGGGTGAAATGCTCTTGTTGCCTACAGTGATACAGTTCATGCAGGTTATAAAACTTAATGCAATTGCACGTTTTCACAATCCATTTAGATCTGTGTGTATTTACCTCCAGACACTTGGTAAGATTCACTGTGACAGTGTATGGTTCGTTTCTCAACATTCTAATACCGAGTACAGTGTTAATTTCAACAATCCTATCACAATAATCAAAGTTAATTTTAAGCCTGCCCATAATTCTTTGCATACAAGGGGCTTTGGCATGTTACACTTAACCACTGTATTTTTTTGTACTTCAATGTATCATGTTCAAATTAATAAATAAAAATAAATAAATAAATAAATTCCCGCCCAGATTTGGGCAATATTTTTTTCATCCAGACTGAAGTGGAAGGGCTTAATAAAGCATCAACTTTGGTGGCCCTGAATGACCACCAACAAGAAGTAGAAATCATAGAAGTATTGTAGACTTCAGCGCCAGCCTTGGTTGACAGTGGATTGTAGACATTTCCCTCTACTCGGCCCTAATCATCGGTAAAAAAAAAAAAAAATATTCACCTCGAAATTGTCATGGTGATGAATAAGATGTGTGCAACAGTTGGGTACCTTACTTGTTGAAGCGTTTCGCCTACGCAGTAGTCTTCATCAAAGTTATTCTAGGTAATTTACACTGAAGATTGAGACGCAACATATAGGAATCTTTATTAAAGAAACGTTTCGCCACAGTGACATCATCAGTCCAATATAAAACAGAAAGAGGCAACTGTGTGCCGAAACGTTTCCTTAACGATTCCTATGTTAAATAATTGTCTCAATCTTAACTTGAACTAATAGTTCACGTAGTAAGGGAAAGGGGTAGCTATTAGTTACCCCTTTATGTTTCATATTGGCCTGATGAAGCCACTGTGTGGCGAAACGTTTCCTTAATAAATGAGCAAATGCTAGGTTTAAGTCTATGCATGTCAGGTCAACCAATAGTTCAAAAGCTATAAAAATAAAGTGAATGCCAGGTTGAAGTTTCTAGATCTGCACAAGTAAGTTTATTCAGGTACATTACAACAAATTTAAATTTCTGTAGCGATCTTGCATTCAGGATTAAGGATTTAATTTCCTTGCATAGTTATTACAACCCAGGAATCTACAGCAGAAAAACTTTTGACTTATATTATCCTTCACCAAGCAAGAACAGAAGTATGTACAATATATACACTATGTACATTATTATTATTATAATCAAGGGGGAAGCGCTAAACCCGGAGGATTATACAGCGCCTGGGGGGGGATGTGGAAGGCATTCAGGCTTAATTCGGGGAACTGGAGCACAGATCCAATTCCCTAAATCAAGAGCCCCTCACCAACATCAAGGAACCTTCCTTGAGGGGTACACTATGTACTACAATAGGTATTAGTGCACTCCACGGTAAGCAAGGCAGAATAGAAGCCACTAGAGAGCATACTGTGCTTCAGCCAACTCTAGAATGGGAATGACCAGGGCAGACAGGCGGGTGGTGTCTACAACACCTCTGCGATTGCCAAAACCATCTTCTCATTGGCTGAACCTGGGTACTGATTGAATGATAGGGCCCCATCGTCCGATCCTTAGTACTGGTTCGTTGGTTGGGGGAGATAGCCTTTCAGTGAAGGTGTGTACATGCGCCGAATAAAGGTTACATACTCTTTGCATGCCACAATAATTTACAATGTGTAAGTACAATATTGATTTGCTAAATGCAAAGAAAGCCACTATCATGCCGAGGCATTTTGGTCAGACTAAACCTAATGCTTTACAGACTACTTAATACTAGACATATATATCATAGTTGTTTTGAATTAAACATTGTTTTTTATACATCAACAGAGGTAGTAGAGGTTTAGCAGTAATTAAATTAACAAGTAGTTCAATCAATCCAATACAAAACAGAAAAGGGTAACTGTGTGGCAAAACATTTCCTAGTTTCCTAGTATGTTACCTCTAGGCTTTTAACTTCTGGCAATCCATGAAATATCACTGCCTGTACCATTACTTGTAATATTGTTTTTATTATGTGCAACTTCAAGATAATTACACTTATAAACCTCCACCTTACTACCTCTCACTAGTTTTAAGTACGTAAATAAAATTGTAAAACAGTTAACCATTATTTCTCATCTATTTTTAAGTATTTACTATGTACTGTTATTTTGTCTAGTTTTGAGTAGTTACTATGTATTAGGATTAGTCTGCCCAAAATGCACCAGCATGATAGTGGCTATCTTTGTACTTAGCAAAACAAAATTGTAATTACACATTGTAACCTTTACAAAGAAATAAACCTTTATCTTTATCTTAGTATAACCCTAGTATGACCCATTAGTCAAAGTGAGTTACTGTATTTCCATTAGGGTACTTGGTTTGCATAACTATTAGACACAGTCAAATATCATTTATAATTCTTCTTCTTTCAACATACCAGCTGTATCCCACTGAGGTGGGGTGGCCCAAAAGGAAAAACGAAAGTTTTGCCTTTTAAATTTAGTAATATATACAGGAGAAGGGGTTACTAGCCCTTTGCTTCTGTCATTTATAATTGTTAACAATAAAAACAAACTAAAATGGTAAAAGTAGACAACTGCACCTTGGCAGATTTTGGCTTTTAATTATAGTTTGAATTGTACAATATTGAGTTGGTCTTTACATTTGTTGTGCAAACGGTAAAAATTGTAACCTAACAAAACCCATTTAACCTCAGCCAAGGTTTAGCACTTCTTTTTGATTATAATACTGTAATAATAATTAACCTCAACCTAAAATAACCTACATTAGTTATGAAAAATCATTTACTTATTTACATGAGTATTAAAATGAAAATATCAGTTAGCTGAATTGAATTATTATTATTATTATAATCAAGGGGGAAGCGCTAAACCCGGAGGATTATACAGCGCCTGGGTGGGGGGGGGATGTGGAAGGCATTCAGGCTTAATTCGGGGAACTGGAGCACAGATCCAATTCCCTAAATCAAGAGCCCCTCACCAACATCAAGGAACCTTCCTTGAGGGGAGCTGAATTGAAAACTAGCATGAATATAAGTCATGTGCATATAACAGTTACATGAATATCAATCACCTGAATATAATAGTTACCTAGTTATTTGAGAGTAAGACACATGTGCAACATCTGGGTATCTTTATTGTAGACGTTTCGCCATCCAGTGGCTTTATCAATACAAATTCCAGGACATAACTTGAAGACAGTAGAACTATGTACAGAAGATGAGGTAATCAGTCCCTCAACCTAGGAGTAGGTGTTCGCACCTACTCCTAGGTTGAGGGACTGATTACCTCATCTCCTGTACATAGTTCTACTGTCTTCAAGTTATGTCCTGGAATTTGTATTGATAAAGCCACTGGATGGCGAAACGTCTACAATAAAGATACCCAGATGTTGCACATGTGTCTTACTCTCATCTTGTCGGTATTATATACCATTCGTACACACCTAGTTATTTGTTTTACTGCATTTATTGGACTCTCCTGTCTTTCAATGAGCACGCAGAATTTTCCTCCGACATCGTCACCACTCTAATGCCCTTACGTTCTTTATTTTCCCTCCTCACTGACAGTCCCACCTTTGACACAGACTCCCTCTTTGACTTTTTGACAGCAACAGATTTATTACACAAACTTTCAAAATCCTTCCTTTAGCACTTCTCACAGTCTCTCCTAACTTTACCTTTAGTACTGTCATCTCCACCCTTATTTATCCTTAGATCCTGCATCAATTTCTACCCTGCAGTGCTGCATGACTCTAGTAGGTTTAGCACTTCCTTTTGATTATAATAATAATTTTACTGCATTTACATACTGTATATCATTTAATAGACAATTAAGGTACTGTTTATGCTAGTTTATCCTCAACTAATCTTATTATTAACATTAGAAAGCAGTACCAATGTAGCCCTTAACTACCCCACTCCCACACCAACAACAAAAACTGTAACAGTAAAAGAAAGAAACTGGAGTATGAGAAGAAACCTCAAAGTAAACTTCACATATCCTACAGAGGAAGGGTAAATGAATGTCAGCATAAGCTAACAGGTAGTGAGGAAAACATCATTTGCAGGGAAACCTTTATTACAGAGTTTCTTATAGAATTGGGCTTTATCAAGATTTCAAAGTAAATTGCATGTACTTTCTTGAAAAAGAAAACCTAAGGTGGATAGATTGTAAATATCTTCTTACTCCTATTCTCTCTGTCATTATGGCATAAGAGAAACAATAAGAGTTATGTTCACAGAAAGTTAGACAAGATACAAGAGAAGAAAAGAATAATGCGGAATGGTTAATAAGAATGGATTCTGTATGGCCTATGCATACAGGTCATACAATATCTTTCTCATGGTCTTGTTTGATGTGGTACTTAAACCAGTAATTGGAACAGGATTATGCAACCAGTGGATCCATAAAAATTGTGATCATCTGCTGGTGAAAATATTGTTCACCCTCATCCCTGAAGAAGCTGACTAGTTGATGATCAATTGTAATTTTACTTTAGGATCATTGTTAATTGTTTGTGACCCTGTCTTATAAGTGACATTAATTTTTATTTCAGAATCAGCAAGTGTGCATATGGACTCCCAAGTACAATTAGATGGTCGCCTTTTAGCGCTTGTGGATTCGGGATGGCGCATGGATCGTTTACCCAGTGACGATATTGCTGTGCCAGTACTAGAACTTCCAGACCCTGAACCAGATACCACCACACCAAACCAGACACTTCGACAGCAAGAGCACAAGTGGACTGATCTCATGCTTTCAAATCTTACAGATTCTCAAGCACAGAATATCACAAACTAGTGTTTTATGTAACTCATTTTTTTGGGGGGGCAGTTTTTTACTTAGTTCATTATCACAACCATATTCATTAGTAAAGGTTTTGTTCAAATTCTGCATTAGGATTTAACACCTAAGTAAACCAAAATACAGTACAGTACATAAAAATATGGAACTTCCAAACTTAGGCAAATACTGTCAAGAATCTTCATGCCAACAGTTGGATTTTCTTCCAATTAAGTGTCAGTTTTGCAGTAACACTTTCTGCACTCGTCATTTCTTGCCTCAAGATCACCAATGCTCTGGAGATTACAGCAGACTCAAACTACAGGTTGGTAAAACTGTCATCTAAAGTTTTCTCCAATAGCTTTTAACAAGTTAATTTTCTTAGTATTGATATTAATTGCTTTACTGAATTTGTCTGGCAACAGAGTGTTCTTGAGCTAAATACCTGGGAGTATGAAATGTATGGGTAAGTCTCCCTATGTTTACCACCCCTGTACACCTGGCAGTAAATGGGTACCTAGGTATTAGTCAGTTTTTGGGAGTTACATCCTGCTTAGCAAGAGAGGCTTCAATAGGGTGTGTCTCTTTTAAACACTGGCCATCTTCCACTGAGGTAGGTTGACTCGACAGACAGGAAAACACTGTCACTGCCACTCATTCAATTATTCTCTTGCCAGAAGAGCACCAACATCACAGTTTAGATGATCCTCCAAACAGCACTATCCCAACCCCTCCTTCAGGGTGCATTATTATTATTATTATTATCATAATTAAGCACTAAATCCACAAGGGTCATACAATGCTGAACCCTTCAAGATGCAGGCACTGTACTTATACCTTCAGACATAAGTCCAGCTAACCAGTTTTCCCAAATCCCTTCATTAATGTTACCCCTGCTCACACTCCAACAGCATGTCAAACCATATAAACACTTCCTTCCATTCACTACTATTTAACATGCTCACACAAGGCTCTTGGATGTTGAAGCCTCTAGCTTATACATGTATACATATAGTGTATTTACAGGTGTAGAACATTTAAACTTATGGGTTATGAGAAGGTATGGAATGCCTGATGGTACAGTATCAGTGGTTGCTAATCATAGCACATTGTGGTGATGCATATGGGTTCACCACTGTGCATTCTCTCCCAGTTTTAATATAGATGTAGTCTTGCGTAGAAGGTATGGGAAGTGCATAGCTACAGAGTAAAGTATGGAGAAAAAAAGTAGCTGCTGATTGCAACACTGATTGGTGCTCAGATACTGGTATTGTTAGGTTAGACTGAAAATTCTTCTACAGGTGTTTACTTTTGTTTTCATACAGGTGTTGATAATTTAAGTATCATCTATGGTGAAGAAGGCATTGGAACTGTATATTCATTATATAAATTTGAACAGTAAAATAAGGAATTCAGTAATTAAATTTTTAATACGTATATACAGTACAGTGTGCATTTTGTAGCAGCATTGTTGCCTCCTTCCTTAATGAACAGTGAAGTGTTTTAATCCAATTCAAATTAATACTTTTTATTTACTTTATCTCATTCCATTCAGGAGTATATAATTTAAGTAAGTCACTTATCTCCAATTATTGTTATTATAAAAAAAAGCACTAAACCTACAAGGGTTATACAGCACCTCTGGGCTGGGAAGGATGCAGGGGTAATGGGTAGCAAGAGGGAGAGGGATGATTATTAGGTCATGCAGTGCAGTGGGGCAGAGTTATCTCCAAAACTTTACTAATAATGATAGTGATGGAGGAGTGACTTTACTAATAATGATAGTGATGGAGGAGTGACTTGTGGCTTGATTCAACCTAACCATACAACATGTCCTCAGTGTTTGACCCTTATTCACTACTCACTTTTTTTTTTTATCAGTTGCCAGCATGTACACCAAGTGTATAATAAAAAAAAATTATCATTCATTGTTGCAATGAAGGTCATACATTACTGTATTCAAGAAGTAATAGCTACACTTTTTAGACTATACTGTGTATATATTCTCATTTCATAATATGCCTCTCCTCTACAGTGGGGTATCTTAGCCAACAACTTCTAGGAGTGAAGAAGAGCAGTATGTGAGTGTGGGGGAGGTCCACGAGGCATTAGGTAGAATGAAAGGGGGTAAAGCAGCTGGAACTGACGGGATCATGACAGAAATGTTAAAAGCAGGGGGGATATAGTGTTAGAGTGGTTGGTATGTTTGTTTAATAAATGTATGAAAGAGGGAAAGGTACCTAGGGATTGGCAGAGAGCATGTATAGTTCCTTTATATAAAGGGAAGGGGGACAAAAGAGATTGTAAAATTATAGAGGAATTAGTTTACAGAGTATACCAGGAAAACTGTACGGTGGGGATATTGTTGAAAGAATTAGAGGTAAGACAGAATGTACGATTGCAGATGAGCAAGGTGGTTTTAGAGTGGGTAGGGGATGTGAAGATCAAGTGTTTACATTGAAGCGTATACGTGAACAGTATTTAGATAAGGGTGGGGAAGTTTTCATTGCATTTATGGATTTAGAAAAGGCATATGATAGAGTGGATAGAGGAGCAATGTGGCAGATGTTGCAAGTGTATATGGAATAGGTAGTAAGTTACTAAATGCTGTAAAGTTTTTATGAGGATAGTGAGGCTCAGGTTAGGGTGTGTAGAAGAGAGGGAGACTACTTCCTGGTAAAAGTAGGTCTTAGACAGGGATGTATAATGTCACCATGGTTGTTTAATATATTTATAGATGGGGTTGTAAAAGAAGTAAATGCTAGGGTGTTTGGGAGAGGGGTGGGATTAAATTATGGGGAATCAAATACAAAATGGGAATTGACAGTTACTTTTTGCTGATGATACTGTGCTTATGGGAGATTTTAAAGAAAAATTGCAAAGGTTAGTGGATGAGTTTGGGAGAGTGTGTAAAGGTAGAAAGTTGAAAGTGAACATAGAAAAGAGTAAGGTGATGAGGGTATCAAATGATTTAGATAAAGAAAAGTTGGATATCAAATTGGAGAGGAGGAGTATGGAAGAAGTGAATGTTTTCAAATATTTGGGAGTTGACATGTCAGCGGATGGATTTATGAAGGATGACGTTAATCATAGAATTGATGAAGGAAAAAAGATGAGTGGTGCGTTGAGGTATATGTGGAGATAAAAAACGTTATCTATGGAGGCAAAGAAGGGAGTGTATGAAAGTGTAGTGGTATCAACACTCTTATATGGGTGTGAAGCTTGGGTTGTAAATGCTGCAGTGAGGAGACAGTTGGAGGCAGTGGAGATGTCCTATCTAAGGGCAGTGTGTGATGTAAATATTATGCAGAAAATTCGGAGTGTGGAAGTTAGGAGAAGGTGTGGAGTTAATAAAAGTATTAGTCAGAGGGCTGAAGAGGGGTTGTTGAGGTGGTTTGGTCATTTAGAGAGAATTCAAATTCAAATTCAAAGTTTATTCTCTATAAGGATTACAATGCTGAGTTTACAGAATTTGGTTATTGTGTGGTTTACATGTAGTAAAATAATAATTACAGAGTGTACCACTAGAACACCTAGCATGGATCAAAGTAGAATGACATGGAGAGCATATAAATCTGTAGGGGAAGGAAGGCGGGGTAGGGGTTGTCCTCGAAAAGGGTGGAGGGAGGGGGTAAAGGAGGTTTTGTGGGCAAGGGGCTTGGACTTCCAGCAAGCGTGCATGAGCGTGTTAGATAGAAGTGAATGGAGACGAATGGTATTTGGGACCGGACGAGCTGTTGGAGTATGAGCAGGGTAATATATAGTGAAGGGATTCAGGGAAACCAGTTATTTTTATATAGCTGGACTTGAGTCCTGAAAATGGGAAGTACAATGCCTGCACTTTAAAGGAGGGGTTTGGGATATTGGCAGTTTGGAGGGATATGTTGTGTACGTATCTTTATACGCAAAACAACCACTCTGAAAGAATAGAGAAATTCCAAGCGCTTTCGTGACTACTCACATTATCAAGGAACTATGAAAGTGAAGCATCCAAGGAAGCTATATAAGGGGTCCGGCCAGCACCTCACTATCAGATCCCACAACGGTTAAACACGTGACGCGCGGCGAGCCAACTTGGATAGGTCCTTTGCACAACTCACCCCCAAGCTATTCTACCCAAGAAAATTTAAAAATTATTTGTCCAGTGTATTATTAAATTCTTCCCAAATTCTATTAATTATAAATGGATCTAATTTATATAAACCAAAGGAAATATTCATATTATTGTCAAAACTGCTTTTTATGAAACAAGATTCAATTATATTCCTGTCGACCATGGACTTGCTAGATACTACTTTCTCAACTTTTTGAAAATCAATTGGATGGTTAAAGTCTCTTACATGAATAAATAGAGCATTGGAATCTTGTCCAGTTCTAATGCTATATTTATGTTGTTTTAATCTTAGTTCGAGATTTTTACCAGTTTGACCGTAATAAACTTTATCGCAAATTTTACAAGGAATCTTATAGACACATCCATCAGCATTTTGGGGGGAATTCTTTATCAAAAGTTTTTTTACTGTATCAAGATTTTTGAATACAACTTTAATATTAAAAGTCTTTATACGTATATGCTTTTAAACTGTTGTATTCTGAGCACCTCTACAAAAACAGTGATTATGTGTGAGTGAGGTGAAAGTGTTGATTGATGATGAAAGTATTTTCTTTTTGGGGATTTTCTTTCTTTTTGGGTCACACTGCTTTGGTGGGATATGGCCAACTTGTTAAAAAAAAAAATATTTTAAAATCCTGCTTATACTTTTGCAGGTGTCAGATGTTAATTACAGGTACCCATGCCAGCATCCAGGCTGCAAGAGTGGAGAACTTGCACCAGTAATCTGTCCAGGCTGTTCCAATAACTTCTGCCTTGCCCACAGACATCAGGTATGATTGAGAATAACTCAGGGTTATTTGACAAGTGAGGAATCTATACTAAGGATTTAGGTGTCAGTTATCAAAATAATTTCAGTCCCAGTGATATTTTCCCTGTTTGTGAAAACTGTATTAGATGTTTTGTTCATTTTTCTTCAGTACAGTGGAACCTCGGCTTTCGTATGCCCTAGTTTGTATGCAAAACTATAATTATTCTCTATAAAATGTATTTTTTTTTTTAATATTTTTGGGTGTCTGGAATGGATTAATTGGATTTACATTATTTCTTATGGGGAATATTAACAAAAAATACATTTTATAGAGAATAACTATAGTTTTGCATACAAACTAGGGCATATGAAAACCGAGATTCCACTGTATTTATTTATAGGGTGTGTAAAGGAAGAAAGTTGAGGTATCAAGCAAGTTAGGTAGGGAAAAACTGGATATCAAGCTGGAGGGAGGGAGTATGGAAGAAGGGTATGGGAGTAGACCTCTTGGCAGATGGGTTTATGAAGGATGAGGTAAACCATAGAAATGATGAAGGAAAAAAGGTAGGTGGTGCATTGAGGTATCTGTGGAGAAAAAGAACATTATCCATGGAGGCGAAGAAGGGAATGTATGAGAGTATAGTGGTACCAACACGCTTATATGGGTGTGAAGCATGGGTTGTGAACATTTTGATGAGGTGGCTGGAGACAGTGGAGATGTTGTGTCTAAGGGCAATGTGTTGTGAATATTATGCAGAGAATTCAATTTGTGGAAATTAGGAGGAGGTGTAGAGTTACTAAAAGTATTATTCAGAGGGGTGGGGAGGGGTTGTTGAGGTGGTTTGGTCATTTGGAAAGGTTGGAGAAAAACAGGTTGACTTGGAGGGTGTATCAATCTGTAGTAGAGGGAGGGAGGGATAAGGGTCATCCTAGGAAAGGATGGAGAGGAGGGGGTTAAAAGGTTTTGTGTGCAAGAGGTTAGACTTACAGCAGGCATGTGTGAGTGTGTTAGGAGTGAGCGGAGACAAATGGTTTTTGGGACTTGATGAGCTGTTGGAGTGTGAGCAGGGTAATATCTTGTGAAGGGATTCACAGAAACCATTAGCCTGCCTGCACTTTAAAGGACTGGTTTGGGATATTAGCTGTTTACAGTGACATCTAAGCTGTCATAACTGTGTGTGTCTGCAAAGACAATGATTATGTGTGAATTCAAAGTTTATTCTCTATAAGGATTACAATGCTGAGTTTACAGAATTTGGTTATTGTGTGGTTTTCATGTAGTAAAATAATAATTACGGAGTGTACCACTAGAACACCTAGCATGGCTAGGCATTTCGGGCAGACTTAGATTAAATCTTAAGTTTAAAATATTACAAAATTATGAGGTAAGTTGGTATTATGGCTAAGTGACTAAATACTAGTTTGTGAGTTTAGCAATGTGAATGCTTTTGTTTTGGCACTATACATAGTTTCAGTATTGGAGTATCACAGGCCAACTTATGACTAGTTAAGATTCATTATTTTGAGATTGAGATTGATATTTCTGTTTATGGTCAAATGGGTGAGTGAGTGTAAGTGTTAACCACCAGGTGGTATTCGTGTAATTAGTTGACAGGGTGTATCAGGGAGATAAGATGTTTTCTGATGGTAGTTTTGAAGGTGATGAATGTGTCTGCAGTTTTAGAATTTTCAGGTAGGGTGTTCCAGATTTTAGGGCCTTTGACATACATTGAATTTTTGTAAAGGTTTAGTCGGACACGGGAATGTCATAGAGATGTTTGTGTCTGGTGTTGTGCCTGTGGGTTCTGTCACAACTATCAAGAAAGCGTTTTAGGTCAAGGTCAATATTGGAATTTAAGGTCCTGTAGATGTAGATTGCACAGTAGTAAGTGTGGATGTACTGAACAGGGAGTAAGTTTAGATCTATGAAGAGTGGGGGGGGGGGGGTGTTGCCAGGGATGGGATTTAGTGATATTCTTACTGCGGCTTTTTTTGGGTTATTATTGGCTTTAGGTGTGTTGCTGCAGTTGAACCCCAAGCACAGATAGCATAGGTGAGGTATGGATATATAAGTGAATGGTATAGTGTGAGAAGGGCAGTTTGTGGCACGTAGTATCATATCTTGGAGAGGATCCCAACCGTTTTGGATACTTTTTTGGTTATGTGTTGGATATGGGTGCTGAAGTCAGGTTGTTGTCGAGGTATAGGCCTAGGAATTTGCCCTCATTATGCCTGGCAATTAGAGTGTTGTCGATCTTAATGTTAATTTGCGCATCTCCTGCTCTGCTACCAAACATAATGTAGTAGGTTTTGTCAGTGTTAAGCGTAAGTTTATTGGCTGTCATCCAAGTCGATATTTTGATCAGCTCCTCATTAACAATGGTGTTGAGGGTGGCAAGATTAGGGTGAGAGATGACATAAGTCGTGTCGTCAGCAAAGAGAATGGGGTTCGGGTGTTGAGATACGTTTGGAAGATCATTGATGTATATGAGGAAGAGCAGGGGACCAAGGACACTTCCCTGCGGAACTCCGGTATCAAGTGGCTGTGTTGTTGATGCTGTGTCTTTAACCCTTTGACTGTTTCAGGCCCCTCTCTGAAACTGTCATTCTATGTCGCTCAATTTTTGAAAAAAAAACAATTATTTTTTCTTATGAAATGATAGAGAATCTTTTCCCGATGGTAATGACACCAAAAGTTCGAAATTTGGTCGAAAACTCATGGAATTATGCTCCCGCGAAGTTAACGGTCTCGGCGACATATGCGTATCGGCGATTTCGCCGACTTTGAGCCCTATTTTCAGCCAATTCCATTGTTCCAGTTGACCAAACTCATAGCTATTTCTTTAGAACTCCATTTTATCTATCAGCTGAGTACAAGAAACCTCCCATTTACTAATTTGGACTACCCAATATGGTGGTCAGAAATTGGCAATTTGGCCAATTTCACACAAACTAAAAAAGATGCCAATTTCAAAATAGGGTCCAGAATAAACAAGGTAGACATTCGTGGCACTAAAATAACATATGCTCTGTTCATTAGTCACATCTCTAGGCCCCTCTTATATTATTATTGCTTTCTATTTTGATTTTTTATTCATACAAAAAAATACAAAATTTACTGTTATGCAGACTACTTCATTACTGTAAAAATGGTATAAATAATATCAGTGCACTAGTGAAAGAATATTAGACTCCCCAGTTGACGTGTATTGGACGTGTGGTGTGATTTATTTACTCCTGAACATTGGTAAAAATCAAACATTTCCGCTACTTTGAGCTCAGTTTCAAGGTCGTTTTCATTGTCAAAGTAATGAAAATCATCTATATTTCTGTAATATGTTTTCCATTTTATCACCTAAGACCATGAAAACGCGAATACAACGGTAAATACTATACGAAAATACACCTCAAATTCGGCATTTTATTCCAAAAAACGATCAGTTTTTTTTTTCTCATTACGCAGTGTGTGCTGCAGGATTTTTTTTATGTGGTGCACACTGACCACACAGACCCATTCTCTCACATGTGGGCCTACCACCTTTCTCCCGCTTGATTTGAAGCCACTAGATTTATTTTTTTTTTTATCACACTGGCCGATTCCCACCAAGGCAGGGTGGCCCGAAAAAGAAAAACTTTCACCATCATTCACTCCATCACTGTCTTGCCAGAAGGGTGCTTTACACTACAGTTTTTAAACTGCATCATTAACACCCCTCCTTCAGAGTGCAGGCACTGTACTTCCCATCTCCAGGACTCAAGTCCGGCCTGCCGGTTTCCCTGAACCCCTTCATAAATGTTACTTTGCTCACACTCCAACAGCACGTCAAGTATTAAAAACCATTTGTCTCCATTCACTCCTATCAAACACGCTCACGCATGCCTGCTGGAAGTCCAAGCCCCTCGCACACAAAACCTCCTTTACCCCCTCTCTCCAACCTTTCCTAGGCCGACCCCTACCCCGCCTTCCTTCCACTACAGACTGATACACTCTTGAAGTCATTCTGTTTCGCTCCATTCTCTCTACATGTCCGAACCACCTCAACAACCCTTCCTCAGCCCTCTGGACAACAGTTTTGGTAATCCCGCACCTCCTCCTAACTTCCAAACTACGAATTCTCTGCATTATATTCACACCACACATTGCCCTCAGACATGACATCTCCACTGCCTCCAGCCTTCTTCTCGCTGCAACATTCATCACCCATGCTTCACACCCATATAAGAGCGTTGGTAAAACTATACTCTCATACATTCCCCTCTTTGCCTCCAAGGACAAAGTTCTTTGTCTCCACAGACTCCTAAGTGCACCACTCACTCTTTTCCCCTCATCAATTCTATGATTCACCTCATCTTTCATAGACCCATCCGCTGACACGTCCACTCCCAAATATTTGAATACATTCACCTCCTCCATACCTCTAACTCTCCATTTAATAACTCGCCTCTCCTATTTTTAACTGACAAATCCATTTGTTCTCTAGGCTTTCTTAACTTGTTAATCTCACTCCAAAACTTTTTCTTATTTTCAACAAAATTTGCTGATAACATCTCACCCACTCTCTCATTTGCTCTCTTTTTACATTGCTTCACCACTCTCTTAACCTCTCCTCTTTTTCTCCATATACTCTTCCCTCCTTGCATCACTTCTACTTTGTAAAAACTTCTCATATGCTAACTTTTTCTCCCTTACTACTCTCTTTACATCATCATTCCACCAATCGCTCCTCTTCCCTCCCGCACCCACTTTCCTGTAACCACAACTTCTGCTGAACACTCTAACACTACATTCTTAAACCTACCCCATACCTCTTCGACCCCATTGCCTATGCTCTCATTAGCCCATCTATCCTCCAATAGCTGTTTATATCTTACCCTAACTGCCTCCTCTTTTAGTTTATAAACCTTCACCTCTCTCTTCCCTGATGCTTCTATTCTCCTTGTATCCCATCTACCTTTTACTCTCAGTGTAGCTACAACTAGAAAGTGATCTGATATATCTGTGGCCCCTCTATAAACATGTACATCCTGAAGTCTACTCAACAGTCTTTTATCTACCAATACATAATCCAACAAACTACTGTCATTTTGCCCTACATCATATCTTGTATACTTATTTATCCTCTTTTTCTTAAAATATGTATTACCTATAACTAAACCCCTTTCTATACAAAGTTCAATCAAAGGGCTCCCATTATCATTTACACCTGGCACCCCAAACTTACCTACCACACCCTCTTTAAAAGTTTCTCCTACTTTAGCATTATTGAGTAATTATTGAGTACAGTGGACCCCCGCATAACGATTACCTCCGAATGTGACCAATTATGTAAGTGTATTTATGTAAGTGCGTTTGTACGTGTATGTTTGGGGGTCTGAAATGGACTAATCTACTTCACAATATTTCGGTCAGTACTGGCACCTGAACATACTTCTGGAGTGAAAAAATATCGTTAACCGGGGGTCCACTGTATATATACGTCAGAAACATTGGCTTGTAAGACGTATTTATACGTCGAAAACAGTCAAAGGGTTAATGGTGACATACTGATACCTATTAGTAAGGTAAGATTTGAAATATGCAAGCGCATGGCCTCTTATACCATAATGGTCAAGTTTGTGGAGTAGGATGCCGTGGTCTACTGTGTCAAAAGCTTTTCTTAGGTCAATAAAATTCCTAGTGGATATGATGGTGAAAGAGTTGATTTTTTTTTTTTTTTTTGGGGGGGGGGGGGTCACCCTGCGTCAGTGGGAGACGGCCAGCATGTTAAAAAAAAATTATGAAAAAATGTTAAGCCTGTAAGGATTATTTAGCAACTCCCCAATAGAAGTGGAATGTACAGTACATCTGAAAACAGTGGTACTGAAAAGATATGGAAGTTACAGAAAATAAAGAACATATCAAAATTATTTATGGGTAAAGCTGCCAGTTTTCGAGTGTGATGTGGAATTAGCTGCTTGCCTATTTTAGTTTGCAGGGGGTTGAGCATTAGCTTCCTACCACTTTATGTGATTAACAGTTGTCATACTTAATTTTGAACACCTACATGTAAACCATTTCCACTGTCATCACTCAGATCATTGTGCTTATTTTGAAGCTAGTAAAAACTGTATAATTTCAAATGTATTCATTTTTCTTAGATTGATCATGGATGTGCAGCTCACAAGCCTCCAGAAAATTCAATGGCTGAAGCAGCTGTTAAAATTCAGAAAATTACTGAAAGTCTGGACTCCACACCAGCTAAGGGAGGACAAGGAAGGAAGTCAGACAAATTATCAGCCAAGGTTGGATATTATTTTTTAGTACAGTGTATTATAAAATATGGGTATTTTATTATTGTAGTAGTCATACAGCACTGCATGAGCCATATGGGTTTAGTGCTTGTTTTATTATGAAATGATGGTAAAATGTGTATATCCCTGTAATTAGATGTATATCATCTGCTGAATTTATAGTTACAGTAATAGCTATACTCACAGCATCCCACCTTCGGAAATTAATTAATCATACACAGTATTTTTAAATTTTAATCCCTTCCAGGCTTAATTCAGGGAACTTGAGCACAGATCCAATTCCCTTGATCAAGAGCCCCTCACCAGCATCAAGGAACCTCTCTTGAGGGGACCACGTGTTCTAACAACTTAGAAAGCTCAGGGCATTGTCTGTAATTAGAGGCATCATGGCCTAAAGTACCTGTCTTATGAAAAGGGGGGACAACAGTGGTTTTTTTATTGCAGAGGGAGAATCCCCTGGGACCAAGCAAGCACCATAGATAAGTACACGTGTGAGAGGGATTGGATTTGAGTTAATGGGGTTCTTTCTTCTTTCAACAAACTGGCCATATCCCACTGAAGTAGGGTGGCCCAAAAAGAAAAACAAGTTTTTCTTTTTACCTTTAGTAATGTATACAGGAGAAGGGGTTACTAGCCCCTTGCTCCTGGGGTTTTAGTCGCCCCCTTACGACACGCATGGCTTATGGAGGAAGAATTCTGTTCCACTTCCCCATGGAAAAGTTAATAGGGTTATCAAAGCTTATTCCTTGGGTAACATTGATAATGGATTGGGCAAATATTTTTGTTAGTGGGTTTGGGTTTGACAAGGATATGCCAAGTATGGGTTAGTAGGCCTTATGCAGTGTTCCCCCTTTCTTATGTTCTTATTTAAATGTTGGAGCATACAGACATGAATGCCATTAGGTGCAGCTACTATCAACTAACATATGGAAAGCAAAGCATCTGTGTAAGTTTATGGAGCATGAAATTTCCACTGTATTCTGATATTCCACTGCAATAAATCCATTATCAGAAAAAAGTAAGACAACAGCAGCAGACATTGGCTTTGGGCTAGGGTGGTCAGTGAAGTCAATGTGTGGTAGTTTTGGAAAGGTAGAAATAAGCAGTATGTGGGTAGTCCTAAAAGAAATATGTTGGTCAGCAGGTGTAGGGGCTTGTGAAGGTAGGGAGGATAGTATTATGCAGAGGGCTGAGGAGGGGCATTGATGTGGTTTTGACATTTAGAGAGGAGCAAAATAGGATGATTTTGAAGGTGTATGAATCTGTAGTGGAGGGAAGGAGTGGAGTTCGTCTTAAGAAAGGTTGGAGGGAGGGAGTAAAGGAGGTTTTGTATACAAGGGGGCTTGGACATTCACCAGGCATATGTGAGTATTGGATAGAAGTGAGTGGAGGCACGTGGTTTTTATGACTTGACATGCTGTTGGGGTGAGAAGGATAACATTTATGAAGGGATTCAGGGAAACAAGTTAGCAGGACTTGAGTTCTGGAAGTGGAAAGTACAGTGCCTACACTCTGAACGGGTGGGGTGTTGTAGGTTGGAGGGGCATCTGAGCTGTGATGATGGTATACCTCAGGCAAGACAGTGATGGGGTGAGTTATGATAGTGTTTCCTCTTTTTTGGGGCTGCCTTACTTTGGTGGGAGACAGCCGGTGTCTCTAAACAATAATAATTCTTTTATTTTGCAGGTACAGTTGATGAAATTGAAGCAAAAGTCATCTGGTGATCAGAGTTTGCCACAGGAAGAGAGAGTGTACCTTATGATTCTCCTTCCTCAGAGTTATAATGCTACACAACAACCAATATTTGTATCACGACACTGGACAGTTGGAAAAGCCATAGATGTTGCTGCTAATATTGCCAAGGTATGATTAGATAAGATATAATGTAAGCATATACAAGTTTGGAATGTACAACAAAGGACCTAAAAGGTGATAAGAGTAACAAAAAGTTTAGGCAATGAAAAATTGGATAACAGATTAGAGGGAAAATGAAGGAAGTCAGTGTACAGAATTGAGGTGTGTGGGGAAGTCAGCAGGTTGGTCTGTGAAAGATGAGGGGAGACAGTTATACCTTTGATGAGTTTCAAGTCTTAATGCTCTCAGAGCCTGGCCATGGGCCAGGTGGAGTGTTGAGATATCTGTGGAGAGAGAGAAGCTTATCTGTGGAGACAAAATGGGAAAGGAGCATGAATATACCAGTGAGGCTGTTAGCAGTGAAGTTATGTTTGAAAATGATGTGTGGTGTCAGTACAGTATTATGCAAAGAATACAGAGCATAGAAATTAGATTGTGCGGGGTTTTCAAAGGCATTACTCAAGAGGGCAGAGAATGGGTTGGTGGGGTAGTTTGGGTATGTAGAGAGGATGAAGCAGGATAGGATAGCCAAGACAGTGTATAAATCCAAGGTGGAAGTAAGGACTCGAAGAAAGAAAAAAAAAAAAGTTTCAAATTTCATTATTCATATCTTGCATTAGTCATTATTGCTTATTGATTTGGAAAAGTATTGAGATGGTTGATGTTTATCTACCAGGCATATTTATGCAGTAATAAAATTATGCCTGCAGCTCAAAAAAAAAAAAAACTTGTGTAAACCAATTTTATTTTACTAAACCATATTAAATTCTGGTTGCTGATACCTGTTGATCTTGAAATATTTGAAAAGGGTAATGGCCCTATTAGGGTTAGTTGGATATAATGAGGTTTATAATATACCTGTAGCTAAAATAATAATAGTATTTTAATCCTAACTAAACACTAAACCCATAAGGGTTATACAGTGCTGAGCTATAATAGTAAAATAAACCACCTGGGTTTTACCTTAAATTTTGGTTGCTGGTGTTTATTGACAGAGGTGTTGTCAGTAGAATAAATTGCTTAAGAACATAAGAAAGGAACACTGCAGCAGGCCTACTGGCTCATGCGAGGCAGGTCCAGTTCTCTTACCGGCTTAAGCCAACACCCTAACCTAGTCAGGTCATTCACTTAAGGAAGGAGCACAGCATCTGACCTAGTAGCACAAGTTAGTCAGGTCCAACTCACACCCACTCGTGTATTTATTTAACCTGTTTTTAAAACTACACGACGTCTTAGCTTCTATGAAGGTACTCGGGAGTTTGTTCCACTCATCCACACTATTACCAAACCAGTGCTTTCCTATATCCTTCCCGAATCTGAATTTTTCCAGTTTAAAGCCATTGCTGCAAGTCCTGTCTAGGCTTGATATTTTTAGGACGCTATTTACAGCCCCTTTATTTATTCCTGTTTTCCATTTATACGCCTCAATCATATCCCCCCTAATTCTACACCTTTCTAGAGAGTGCAGATTCAGGGTCCTCAGTCTATCCTCATAGGAAAGATTTCTGATACATGAAGTCACCTTTGTCATACTTCTTTGTACGTTTTCCAGTGCATTTATATACATTCTGTAATACAGTGATAGAACTGTGCAGCATAATCTAAATGTGACTTAACCAAAGATATATAGAGTTGAGTATATGGAGAGTAAAAGAAAGGTGAAGAGAGTGGTGAGAGAGTGCAAAAGGAGAGCAGATGAAAGAGTGGACTGTCAAGAAATTTTAATGAAAATAAGAAAAATTTTTGGAGTGAGTTAAACAAGTTAAGAAAGCCTAGGGAAAGTATGGATTTGTCAGTTAAAAACAGAGTAGGGGAGTTAGTAGATGGGGAGAGGGAGGTATTAGGTAGATGGAGAGAATATTTTGAGGAACTTTTAAATTATTATTTTATTATCACACCGGCCGATTCCCACCAAGGCAGGGTGGCCCGAAAAAGAAAAACTTTCACCATCATTCACTCCATCACTGTCTTGCCAGAAGGGTGCTTTACACTACAGTTTTTAAACTGCAACATTAACACCCCTCCTTCAGAGTGCAGGCACTGTACTTCCCATCTCCAGGACTCAAGTCCGGCCTGCCGGTTTCCCTGAATCCCTTCATAAATGTTACTTTGCTCACACATCCAACAGCACGTCAAGTATTAAAAACCATTTGTCTCCATTCACTCCTATCAAACACCTCAAGCTGCCTGCTGGAAGTCCAAGCCCCTGCACACAAAACCTCCTTTACCCCCTTCCTCCAACCCTTCCTAGGCCGACCCCTACCCCGCCTTCCTTCCACTACAGACTGATACACTCTTGAAGTCATTCTGTTTCGCTCCATTCTCTACATGTCCGAACACCTCAACAACCCTTCTCAGTCCTTGGACAACAGTTTTGGTAATCCAGCACCTCTCTAACTTCCAAACTACGAATTCTCTGCATTATAATTCACACCACACATTGCCCTCAGACATGACATCTCCACTGCCTCCAGCCTTCTCCTCGCTGCAACATTCATCACCCACGCTTCACAACCCATATAAAGACGTTGGTAAAAACTTATACTCTCATACATTCCACCTTATTGCCTCAAGGACAAAGTTCTTTGTCTCCACAGACTCCTAAGTGCACACTACTCTTTTTCCCTCATCAATTCTATGATTTCACCTCATCTTTCTAGAGGTGGTAATTTCATGCATGGCCAGGGAGGGTATACCATCTTTTAGGAGTGAAGAAGAGCAGAATGTAAGTGTGGTGGAGGTACGTGAGGCATTACGTAGAATGAAAGGGGGTAAAGCAGCTGGAACTGATGGGATCATGACAGAAATGTTAAAAGCAGGGGGGGATATAGTGTTGGAGTGGTTGGTACTTTTGTTTAATAAATGTATGAAAGAGGGGAAGGTACCTAGGGATTGGCGGAGAGCATGTATAGTCCCTTTATATAAAGGGAAAGGGGACAAAAGAGATTGTAAAAATTATAGAGGAATAAGTTTACTGAGTATACCAGGAAAAGTATACGGTAGGGTTATAATTGAAAGAATTAGAGGTAAGACAGAATGTAGGATTGCGGATGAGCAGGGAGGCTTCAGAGTGGGTAGGGGATGTGTAGATCAAGTGTTTACATTGAAGCATATATGTGAACAGTATTTAGATAAAGGTAGGGAAGTTTTTATTGCATTTATGGATTTAGAAAAGGCATATGATAGAGTGGATAGAGGAGCAATGTGGCAGATGTAGCAAGTATATGGAATAGGTGGTAAGTTACTAAATGCTGTAAAGAGCTTTTATGAGGATAGTGAGGCTCAGGTTAGGGTGTGTAGAAGAGAGGGAGAATACTTCCCGGTAAAAGTAGGTCTTAGACAGGGATGTGTAATGTCACCATGGTTGTTTCATATATTTATAGATGGGGTTGTAAAAGAAGTAAATGCTAGGGTGTTTGGGAGAGGGGTGGGATTAAATTATGGGGAATCAAATTCAAAATTGGAACTGACACAGTTACTTTTTGCTGATGATACTGTGCTTATGGGAGATTCTAAAGAAAAATTGCAAAGGTTAGTGGATGAGTTTGAGAATGTGTGTAAAGGTAGAAAGTTGAAAGTGAACATAGAAAAGAGTAAGGTGATGAGGGTATCAAATGATTTAGATAAAGAAAAATTGGATATCAAATTGGGGAGGAGTAGTATGGAAGAAGTGAATGTTTTCAGATACTTGGGAGTTGACGTGTCGGCGGATGGATTTATGAAGGATGAGGTTAATCATAGAATTGATGAGGGAAAAAAGGTGAGTGGTGCGTTGAGGTATATGTGGAGTCAAAAAACGTTATCTATGGAGGCAAAGAAGGGAATGTATGAAAGTATAGTAGTACCAACACTCTTATATGGATGTGAAGCTTGGGTGGTAAATGCAGCAGCGAGGAGACGGTTGGAGGCAGTGGAGATGTCCTGTCTAAGGGCAATGTGTGGTGTAAATATTATGCAGAAAATTCGGAGTGTGGAAATTAGGAGAAGGTGTGGAGTTAATAAAAGCATTAGTCAGAGGGCAGAAGAGGGGTTGTTGAGGTGGTTTGGTCATTTAGAGAGAATGGATCAAAGTAGAATGACATGGAAAGCATATAAATCTATAGGGGAAGGAAGGAGGGGTAGGGGTCGTCCTCGAAAGGGTTGGAAAGAGGGGGTAAAGGAGGTTTTGTGGGCTAGGGGCTTGGACTTCCAGCAAGCGTGCATGAGCGTGTTAGATAGGAGTGAATGGAGACGAATGATACTTGGGACCTGACGATCTGTTGGAGTGTGAGCAGGGTAATATTTAGTGAAGGGATTCAGGGAAACCAGTTATGTTCATATAGTCGGACTTGAGTCCTGGAAATGGGAAGTACAATGCCTGCACTTTAAAGGAGGGGTTTGGGATATTGGCAGTTTGGAGGGATATGTTGTGTATCTTTATACGTATATGCTTCTAAGCTGTTGTATTCTGAGCACCTCTGCAAAAGCAGTGATAATATGTGAGTGTGGTGAAAGTGTTGAATGATGATGAAAGTATTTTCTTTTTGGGGATTTTCTTTCTTTTTTGGGTCACCCTGCCTCAGTGGGAGACGGCCGACTTGTTGAAAAAAAAAAAAATAGAGTTGAACAACCTGAGGACTTCTATTATTTATACTTCTTGATATGAAGCCAAGGATTCTGTTAGCTTTATTGTGAACACTTAAGCACTGTTGTCTTGGTTTCAGATTACTGCTAACCAGAACTAAATCCCTTCCACAATCAGTAATATTAAGATCTACATTATTTAGTGTATATGTGGTATGGTTATTTTCCTGTCTAACATTTAGACCTTTGCATTTATCTATATGTATTAAACTGCATCTGCCACTTTTCCGACCACTGCATCAGTCTATTCAAATCACCCTGGAGTGCTCTAATGTCCTCATTAGAATGAATTTGACGGCCTATTTTGGTGTCACCAGCAAATTTGCTCATTTTGCTGTTTATTCCCTCATCTATGTCATTTATGTAAATTGTGAACAAGGGGCCCAACACTGACCCCTGTGGAACACCGCTTGTGACGTGCCCCCATTCTGATTCATCCCCATTTATGCAAACTCTCTGCTGCCTATTTGTCAACCATGCCTCTACCCAGGAAAAAATTTCTCCTCCCATTCCATGTGCCTAGTTTCCTTAGTAGCCTCTGATATGGAATTCTATCGAAAGCCTTACCGAAGTCCATATACACAATATCATATTCAATGCCATGATCTACCTCCTCAAATATCGTAGTGAAAAAAGTAAATTTGTTTAGACAGAACGTCCCTTTGTAAAACTGTGCTGAGATTCATTTATCAATTTATGCCTTTCAAGATGGCTACAAATTGGCTCGGCAATTATTAATTCCACAAATTTTCCTACTATGGAGGTAAGGCTTGTCTATAGTTCAAAGCTAAGGACCTGTCACCTGCCTTGTAAATAGGCATTACATTTTCCACTTGTCTGGCACTATGCCAGTTTGTAGTGATACATGTATATTGAAAAGATCAGCCAAAGGTATACTAAGTTCCTCTTTACTTTAAAACCTTTGCAAACAGTTCATCATGGCTGGGGGATTTATTAGGCTTTAATTTCTCTATTTGTCTGAGGACTGTCACTAGTTACCCCAATCCTGCATAGCGTATTATCGTCCTGTACTATACAATTTATTATTTCTGTTATTTTGCTAGTATCTTTCCGAGTAAAAACAGAGGAAGTAAGTGTTGAAAAGTTCACACATTTCTTTATCACTGTCAGTTATCTGACCCGAGTTATTCTTAGGTGGGCCTATCTTGTCCCTGATCTTACTTCTGTATACCTGAAAGAACCCTTTTAGGTTAGTCTTTGAATCCCTTGTGACTTTAGCCTCATAATCCCTTTTTACTTGTCTTATTCCTTTTTTAATATCTAAGTGAACATATTGATTTCTTAAATGCCCATTTCCTCCTTTGATATGCTTCTCTTTTGACCAATGAGATGTTTTAATCTATTGTTCATCCATTTGGGATCATTTTTGTTGGATCTAATTTCTTTACTCAGAACAAAAGTTGTCTGGGCAGCTAGAACTATGCTCTGAAATACATCATATTGGCAGCCAACACCACCTACCTGACCCATGGCCAGGTCATCCCAAATTAGCTCACCCAGGTAATTTCTCAGTCCCATGAAGTTGGCCAGGCAGAAGTCTGGGACAGAGACTTGATTGCAGTTATCTGGGTAATTCCATGATATGTTGAAATTAAGTGATTTGTGACTGCTTTCCTCAAGCTCATCATTAACTTCAAGATTATTAATTATTGATTCTTTGTTGGCAAGAACCAAGTCAAGCTGTTGTTTCTTCTAGTTGGTTCTGTCACAAATTGTTTTAAAAAGCAATCTTGAACCTTATAAAGAAAGTCACTAGACTCAAGATTTCCTGTCACATTGTTCCAATCAATTTGTCTAAAGTTAAAATCTCCCATTAACACAACATTTTCATATCAAGATGCCTTATCTATTTCATCCCATAGCAGTTTACTGCACTCCCTATCAAGGTTTGGGGGCCTATAAATCATGCCCAAAATTAATTTTTCAAGACCCTCCAGAAATTGTAGCCAAACAGATTCTGGGTCTGATGTTTCTAATCTTATATCGTGTCTAACACAATAATTTAAATTATCTCTGACATACATCACCACTCCACCACCCTTCCTGTTGACCCTATCATTGTGGAATAGTTGATAACTCTATGTTGCATTCAGAAGACATTTCTCCATCTTTCAAGTTGAAACAGGTCTTCGTTATAGCAATAATAGCTATATGACCTCCACTTGCAAGTAATCTTAGCTCATCTATCTTATTTCTTAGACTCCTACTATTTGTATAGTAACCCTTAAGGGAGCTAATCACTAGTTGCCCTCTACTATCTCTGTTGAACAATTGCTTTGCCTTTACTAGCAACTTCGTTTTGATTATTATCTTTTAAACATATCCCTGGGGTATCCTGGTAATATCTGCTGTTTTCAACCCTAGTACCACAGCCTCATTGTTTTCCACAAACACTCATACCTCTATAATCTCTCAGTTTAACCCTTAAACTGTCCAAACGTAGATCTGCGTTTGCATGCGTAGTGCTCCGAACATAGATCTATGTTTGGAGCACTACACATGCAAATGTAGATCTACGTTTGGACAGTTTAAGGGTTAAAGTCCTAGACAAGTCATTGATGACCCCCTCAATCGAATTGGCTAATGCAACCACTTCAGCCCGAGAGAGATGAACCCCATCCCTTGCATACATATCATGTTTACCGTAAATTTGTCCCAGTTATAAATGAATGAGATTGCAAGTTCCTTGCAGTACCTGTCTAGCCAGCAATTTATACAAATTGCCCTAGGCATCCATTCATTGCCCACTCTCCTTCTAGGCAAGATGGTACATATGATCAGGATCCCTCCTTTAGACCTGACTACATCTATGGCTGACCTGTACTTATCCAGCAACTCCTGTCTCCTGCCATTCCCAATGTCATTTCCACCAGCACTAAGACAGATAATGGGCTTGTTCCCATTATGTGACATAATATTATCCAAGCTGCTATATCACCAACACCAGCTCCTGGGAGGCACAGCTTCTGTCTGACCTTCCCATCTCTGTTACAAAAAGCATGGTCCATATATCTTACCTGAGAGTCTCCCACAATCAGAATATTTTTACTTTGATTAGTAGGGGAACCAGTGGTACCTCTAACCTCACTAACCACTGAAGTACTCATCCTGGAGAACAGAAAATCGATTTCCTACCTTCACATCTTCTCTATTAACCTTCCTTCCTTCCTGAATTTTGAACCACTTGCCACTTAAAGTGGCTGCCACTCACCAACTCATTGCTGGTAACCTTTTCCTCCTTATTGAATCTAACAGCTTGGGTAGCTTTAACAGTAGGTTGGACAAATATACTAATGTTTAAAGTTGGGTTTGAGGACCCACCTAGCATAGTAAAGTAGGTCTGCTAGTGTCCCCCTTGTCCATTATTTAGGAGAGCAGTGGTTTAGCAATGGAATGTATGCAAGTGCCTAAGAGTACAGGTACAAGTAGTACCTTTATGAACTTCTACCTCGTTACATCACAATATTTATGGGAACGGCTAAGCCCATAGGGGATCATACAGTGCATGGGTAACAGGAGGCACTCAGGTTTGATCAGTTGCAGTGGAGAGTAGCTCAAGTTCTGAATCAAGAGCTCTCCCTTGAACAGTACACCAGTATTAAAGATTTGAAGATGGGACAGATTATACACTAAAACCTTGAAATAAAATAAAATTGAGGCAACTACTTAAAGATGCTCATTCAAGGATACCTAATAAATGTTAATATTGTACTTTTCTTTTCAGGTGAAAAATGACAATAATATTTTGGGTGCAGATAAATTAATGTTCTTCCATGAAAGAGATGGTTCTCTGCTTGGCTCAATGGACCAGACATTAAAATCACTTCTTGATGACCAGCAAATGTATAATGGACAAACAGTTATATTGGAGTACATACATGGCAGTGCTTAAATACTATACTTGTATAAAAATGAAGAGTAAGTTTGTATCAGCATGTGATTGTAGGATATTTTCTATAAAAAGATGCCAGCTCACTTTACACAAAATGTTTGAAGTATTTCTCAGTGTTAAGAAACATATACTATGCACTTAGGTGAAGTGCATAAAGGTTTATTAAATTAGCAATAAGTAAGACATATTTGAATGTGCATCGAGTCAAACTGATGCCTGCGAGGGGTCCTTCATTTAAGTTATCGAACCAGCTCTCCTAGGATTAAACCTGATTGCCCCAGGGGCTGTATGACCTAGGGATTTAGTGCCCATCCCCCTCTACTAAATATAATAGTTGGACATTGCATTGGGAAGCGCTAAAGCCATGGGGGTCATGTGCTGCCTCGTTTCCTTCAATTATTCTGGATCATCTCGACTATTTGTCAGTACACGTATCTTGTGTATATGTAGGATTGATGCTGATTTTCAGATGTTTAATCATGGCTCTCTTACTTTGATTTCCTAATAATTTTTTGCATCCACCCTGTGCACTTTCATCCTGCACCATAAACCACTCCTATCAACATCATGTTTGGGAGACTGCACTATCCTGCCTACATATCAGCTTGGAACTGCTGTGCGACAGCTGTTAGGTTATATTTTCAGATCGCCATATCTTTTAACAATGTCCTGTATCAGCGAGCATGCAGAATTCAGTTTCAACATCCCCAATACCCCAACACTTAATTACACCGACCTTGTTGAAAGTCCCACCTTTGAAGCAGGTCATACAATACAGCAGGTCCCTCCTGCTGTACTGTATGACCCTTTTGGGTTGAATGCTTAATTTGATTATGCATTCCAGTTTTGTTATGGTCATCCTTTCAGCATGTGGAGCTGGTGGTTAACGCTCTCGCTTCACACGGTGAGGGCCTGGGTTCGATTCCCAGCCAGAGTAGAAACATTGGACGTGTTTCTTTCAACCTGTTGTCTATGTTCCCCATCAGTAAAATGGGTACCTGGGTGTTAGTCAACTGGTGTGGGTTGCATCCTGGGACACTGACCTAAGGAGGCCTGGTCACAGACCGGGCCGCGGGGGCGTTGACCCCCGGAACTCTCTCCAGGTAAGAATTGGGAGCTTTCCAAGAGTATTATTATATTAAATGGAACAGAGCATTACTAAAATAGAGCTAAACTTAAACACCAATTGTAATTATTACGTATATTAACAAAGCACTAAACCCACACAACTCAGTGCTCCAATAATAGTGATATGAAAGCAACACAGTCTACTAATCATTCAAGGGAGGTTTCTTGAGGCTGATGAGAAGCTCTTGAGCATAGGTCCTGAATGCCTTCTATTTCCCCAGGCACTGTATGACTTCCATGAATATAATAGTTAAGTGAGAATAGGCAGTTAAAGCATGTGCACAAAATTTGTTTACCTTTAAATTAAAAATTACAGAAAATATTGGTCTTCTTAATTTGTTTACCTTTAAACAATTTTATAATGGCTTAATGAATACAATCTTAAGGTACAAAATAAAAAGACCAATATTTTCTGTAATAATTTAAAGGTAAACAAATTAAAAAGACCAATTATTTTATTATTTTTTTTTTATTATCACACTGGCCGATTCCCACCAAGGCAGGGTGGCCCGAAAAAGAAAACTTTCACCATCATTCACTCCATCACTGTCTTGCCAGAAGGGTGCTTTACACTACAGTTTTTAAACTGCAACATTAACACCCCTCCTTCAGAGTGCAGGCACTGTACTTCCCATCTCCAGGACTCAAGTCCGGCCTGCCGGTTTCCCTGAACCCTTTCATAAATGTTGGGGTTCAGGGAAACTGGCAGGCTGGACTTGAGTCCTGGAGATGGGAAGTACAGTGCCTGCACTCTGAAGGAGGGGTGTTAATGTTGCAGTTTAAAAACTGTAGTGTAAAGCACCCTTCTGGCAAGACAGTGATGGAGTGAATGATGGTGAAAGTTTTTCTTTTTCGGGCCACCCTGCCTTGGTGGGAATCGGCCAGTGTGATAATAAAAAAAATAATAATAAAATAATTGGTCTTTTTAATTTGTTTACCTTTAAATTAATTATTACAGAAAATATTGGTCTTTTTATTTTGTACCTTAAGATTGTATTCATTAAGCCATTATAAAATAAAGGAATTTTATTAAACTTGATAATTAAATGAAGGAATGTCTAACAATAGAAAGTTATCAATTTTACTATAACACTTTGTGTATATCTACTAGTAACACTATGGAAAGCAGGAAAGAAAGGCTTTTTTTATTTATTTATTGGCAAACAATTTTGATATAGAACAAGTTAAATTTGAGAGTAGCTGTCTTATATGGTTAAAGGCTTACAATTTCATTCACAAAAATCCTCCACCAGTGCTGAACAAACTAAGGTGGCCTTCTCAGTGGAAATCGGCAATGAAAGAAAGCCCAGGGAAATAAAAAAAAAAAAAAAAAAAAAAAAAAAAAAAAAAAAAAAAAAGTACCTTAGTAGGTACTGGACCATTCACACAACAGAGGAAGTGAGAGGAAGTGAGAAGAAGAAAAAAAAGAGGGGTGGGGGGGAATGATGGAGATGGATAAATCAAAGGCAGTGGGATCTCACAGGGTATCACCATGGATTCTGCAAGAGGAAGCAGAAGCATTGTCCAAACCGCTAACTATGATCCACAACAAATCAATGAACAGGACAGTTTGCGAGAGATCTAGAAGACAGCAAATGTAGTACATATACTATTTAGGAAAGGACATAAGCATGAAGCATTGAACCACTGGCCAGTTTCACTAACATTTATACCATCTACCTGGAGGTTTTTCTGGGGGTCAATGTTCCAGCAGCCCAGTCCGTGATCAGGCCTTGCAAGGTAATAGAAAATGATATAATCAAGTGCTAAATCCAAATGGAGAAGACAGTCAGGAGAGTGGTAATTATTATAATCAAAAAGAAGTGCTAAACCACAAGGGCTAGGAGAGTGGTAGAGCACTTGGAGAGAAGTGGTTACATAAAAAAAACAACTAATATGGGCTCAGAGAGGAAAAGTTTTGTCTTGCCAACCTTTTGCAATTGTATGACGAAGTAACAAGTGAGATAGGAAAGGCTGGGTGGACTGCATTTTGTTAGACTGCAAGATGGCATTTAACACTGTACCCTATGAAACTAGGAAGAGAACTTGAGAAACAGGCAGGAATAATGGAATGTATTCTGGTGGATCACGTACTACCTTAGGGAAAGGATGATTATCAAAGATGTCAGAATGGGGATGAATAAGCAGTGTGCCATAAGGATCAGTGCTGTTTCTGGTTTATGAGTGACATACCTCATTCAAAAGGACCTGGGAATATGCAGTGCTATCACATCACTAGAGGCTCACATTAACTAAATGACTTCTGCAGCCAATACTTGCCTAGCAAATTTGAGTGGCCTTTGGGAATCTCTGTAGTTATTTCAGGCATTTTACATAATATATGTCAGGCCTATCTTAAGATGCAGTATCAGTAAGGAACCCATACCTAAGGAAGCATGTTAAGAAACTGGTGAAAGTGTAGAATTATGCAATGAGACTAGTTCCCGAGATAGGGGTTATGAACTACAAGAGGGGCTTAAGGAATTGAATCTAATGACCCTGGAGGACAAGACCAGAGCTTACATGATCATATACAGAATACTACTCAAGAGGAATTGATAGGATGGACAGGAACAGGCCGTTTGAGAGGGAAACAGGTACAACTGGAAGTTAAAAGACCCAGATGAGTTGCAGGGATGTCAGAAAGTATTTCACCATTCACATGGTGCTCAGGCAGTGGAAATAATATCGACATAGAGGTGATGGAGACAGACTGTCACAGTCCTTAAAATAGGTTCAACAGGTCTCACAAGGCTCTGAGACAGTGAATCTGGCAAGTGACCAGAAGCTGATACTTAACCCCTGAGTACTAAGGTAAAAAAGTCTTAAAACAAAATTCTTCCATTGTAAGGGGAAACTGTCTGGAAATCACTTTGAAAGTAATCCTGATGAAAATAATATCCTACTGCTTTTGAAGCTAAACAAAATATTAAGATCTACCTTTATTTTTTTTTTTAATATGTTGGCTCTCCTTCAACATCTGTATTCCAAAATCAATTTTTCATTCTAATACTCCAATACAACTTTAACAAAATAACTTGACATTTAATATAATCCTTACTCTGCAATCATTGAAGAGGCCATTTTTTCATTGAGTCATGCATTTTTTTGAATGATCCTGATTATTATCCTCTAACACAACCTGTGAGAGAGATTCCACTGGATTCTTGATATTCTCCACATGTGGAGCTATATGTTCAAGGAAATGTATTTTGTTATTCTCTCTCTCATCATATGCTTCTATATATTGATCATGAAATTCTATTAATTTTTTATTTTCCATTCTGTCTTGCACTTTTCATGTTAATACCCTCTAGTGATGGACAATTTGGTACAGTAGAAACCAGATCTTTATAATCTACATTCTCTGTTTGTGACAAAATGTTTTCATCAAATTTAGCTAGTTCTGGCTTCAAGGCAACACAACTTTTAGAATCTGTACATTCCATATTACTTTCCTCGATTACCATATGTGTAACTGCCTCACTTTTAACATCAAGTTCATTCTCATTAATCATTGTCAAGACTCCCTCTGGACATAAAGCAAGTTGCTGATTAGTATGCAAGGCCTCAGGTAAGAGCCATTGTTGCAGGAGGAGTTCTTGCATTGTGGGTCGCTCACTAGGTTCTTCAGCAATAAGATGTTTAATAGATGGAATGCTGTTGATTGCAGCTTTCTTAGCAGCTTCTAAATTACCCACACCAAGGCAAGATAACCATAAAATCATAATTCCAAGGCTGTACACATCATCAGCAAAAGTGTCAATGGCCTCTTTCTGACCAGGTGACTGTGGACACTTGAAAGACCAACTTTCTTTAAGTGAACTTTCTACAATCTTTTCTTGAGAACATAATTTGGCTACACCATCAACCAAGAGAATGTTTTCTGGATGGAGATGTTTATATGCTTTACCTTTCTGATGAAAGCAAACTAAATCTGAAAAAAAAAAAAAAAATCTTAAAATTGTAGACTAAAATTATAATTAAAAATAGAGTGGTACCTCGAGTTTCTGCCATAATTCGTTCCAGAAGGCTGTTCGAGTGCCGTTACTGAACGAATTTGTTCCCATAAGGAATAATGTAAATTAGATTAGTCCATTTCAGACCCCCAAAAACACACTTACATAACTGTTTGAGTTGGGAGCTGTTCGAAACTTGAGGTACCACTGTATAACAATGCAGTGCATGTCAACATCTTTCAGCAATTAAGTCAGATAATTAAGAAAAAATGCCAAAAGGTAAAAATAATGTATTATTACATTTACTAAATGAGTCCCAACTCCTACTTTAGAATGCATTAAGTCTGATTAAAAATAGAGAGAGGAAATTAATTAGATTTCTGTCATTTTGATGTTAATATCTTCTTCAGAACTGGTTAGTTTTTGAAGAGAACTTTAACCTACAAGATAACTGAGCACTCTTAGCAACAAAAGGCTAGGTTGAACTATTACGGCAATACTAACAAGGTGTGGAATAACACACTTATGCATACATTAGGACTATTAACAAGAAAACTCTATGCCATGAGTGACTTCTTCAGTCCATGACTCAACCCACTGCATGAGGCAGTAGGTAGAATGAAGGGAGGGGGAAGGGATGCTAAATAGCTAGGATAGATTAGATTAAGGTGTTAAAAGCATATCATGATATAGTTTTGGAGTGGTTGTTCTATTTGTTTAATATTGTATATGTATGGAAGATGGTAAGGTACCTAAGAAATAGCAGAGAGCATGTATAGTTCCTTTCCAGAGGGAAAATGGGAAACAAGAATGTTAAGAATTACATAGGGATAAGCCTGTTGAATCCTAGGTAGTAGGTTGGTAAACAGCAACCGCCCAGGGAGGTACTACCGTCCTGCCAAGTGAGTGTAAAACGAAAGCCTGTAATTGTTTTACACGATGGTAGGATTGCTGGTGTCTTTTGACTGTCTCATAAACATGCAAGATTTCAGGTACGTCTTGCTACTTCTACTTACACTTAGGTCACACTACACATACATGTACAAGCATATATATATACACCCCTCTGGGTTTTCTTCTATTTTCTTTCTAGTTCTTGTTCTTGTTTATTTCCTCTTCATCTCCATGGGGAATTGGAACAGAATTCTTTCTCCATAAGCCATGCGTGTTATAAGAGGCGACTAAAATGCTGGGAACAAGGGGCTAGTAACCCTTTCTCCTGTATAAATTACTAAATTTAAAAAGAGAAACTTTCGTTTTTCTTTTTGGGCCACCTGCCTTGGTGGGATACAGCCGGTTTGTTGAAAGAAGAAGAAAGAAGCCTGTTGATTATGCCAGGTAGTGTATGGTAGACTTCTTATTGAAGAGTTAGGGGTAAACGCCCCTCAAGGATTGGGGTGCTTTGATTCCAGTGAAGGGCTCTTGATCCAAGGAACTGAGACTTTTCTGTTCTCATCCTTGGATTGAACCTGAATGCCTCCCATTCCCCAAGTACTATCTGACCCCTAAGGCTTTAGCACTTCCCAATTATCTAAAAAATAAAGGGGTAAGACAGTAGGACTGCAGAGGAGCAAGGATTCAGGAAGGTTAGAGGATGTGTAGACCACGTATTTACATTAAAACTTATAGCGAATACTACTTAGATAAAGGCAAGGTTCTATTTGTTGTATATATGGATTTAGGAAAGGCACACAAGGAAGAAAGGGAAGTAATATGGCAGATGTTGCTAACTGATGCACATACAAATGGTATATTAGAGCAGTAAAGAGCTTTTTGTGGACAGTGAAGTTTAGTCTATGTCCCTCCTACATATCCTAACCTATCTCCCTGTGCAAGTAGGACTTAGATAGAAATGCATGATGGACACCATGTTTAACAAACAGAAAAGAGCATGATGATGAGTGTAACAAAGATCTAGACAATTCATATTCATACAGTTTATTTGGACATGATACATAGTTGTACAAGGAATTCCAGTAGTTGGGGGAAATATAGTCATCCTTTTCAGAAATTGTAGCGTTATTTTAGTCCAAACATTGGTTCGCAAATGGTCGGTTGACTCACTAATCGTTGTTCGTCCTGGACATGTACTCACGGCTCTGAGCCACTTCGGCCTCCCTTCCCAGCCAGTGTGCCATTGCTTACCAGTGAGCGACAGTCCCCTCACGTGTTCATACGAAATATTTCATAATACAGTGGACCCCCGGATAACGATCAGCTCCCAACTCGACCAATTATGTAAGTTTATTTTTGTAAGTGCTTTTGTAGGTGTATTTTTAGGGGTCTGAAATGGACTTATCTAATTCACAATATTTCTTATGGGAACAAATTCGGTCTATAATGGCACCTAAACAGACTTCTGGATTAAAATAATATCGTTATGCGGGGATCCACTGTACACCTACCATCCGACTTACGACCTGCTCGACATATGACCATTCAACTTATGTTTTCTATGCCAAATTTCTGGGAAAAAAACAACTGTTTGTGTTGTACACAGTGTTTAACCTAAACCTTACAGTATAAAGTACAGTACTAACAGCATAAAAAGTAAAAGTAAAAAATGAAATACCAAAATAAAACAAAAAAAAAAGTCATTACAAAAACGTGATGTTGATATTCAGTAATAAGGTTCGACTTATGTCCATTTCGACTTACGACCGGTTTGTCGGAACCGAACTCGGTCGTAAATCGGATGGTACCTGTATTCCATTCATTTTAGTGCTTGCAAATGCTAAATAAGCTACCATGGCTCCAAAGAAAGCTCCTAGTGCCAAGCCTTTGGTAAGGAAGGTGAGAAATACGATTGAATTCAAGAAAAACATCATTGAACAATATGAAAATGGCATACGTGTGGCTGAACTGGCTAGGATGTATAACAAATCCCGTACAACCATATCTTCCATCGTGGGCAAGAAAAAGGAAATCAAGGAAGCTGTTGTCGCAAAGGGGGTAAATATGCTGACAAAAATGAGATCACCAGTACTCGAAGAGGTTGAGAAGTTATTATTGGTGTGGATAAAAGAGAAACAATTAGCAGAAATTGCCTGCAACGAGTACTGATATTTGTGAATTTAAGGCCAGCAAAGGTTGGTTTGAGATTTAAGAACCCAAGTGGCATACACAGTGTGATAAGGCATGGTGAGGCTGCCAGTTCGGACAAAATTGCAGCTACAAAATTCGTAAGTGAATTCAAGGAGTACATAGAGGTTGAAGGACTGAAACCTGAACAAGTTCTCAATTGTGACGAAACAGGCCTCTTCTGAAAGAAAATGCCAAAGACGACCTACATTACTCAAGAGGAAAAGGGACTGCCAGGACACAAGCCTATGAAAGACAGGCTGACACTTATGCTGTGTGCTAATGCTAGTGGGGATTTCAAAGTGAAGCCATTACTAGTGTACCATTCTGAAAATCCCAGAGTGTTCAAAAAAAAAAAAAAAAAAAAAAAAAAAAAAAAAAAAAAAACAATGTTATGAAGAGTAAATTGTGTGTGTTTTGGAGATCTAATAATAAGGCATGGGTCACGAGGAAAATTTTTGTCGAGTGGTTCAATGAAGTGTTTGGCCCTAGTGTGAAGAATTACCTCTTGAAAAAGAAATTGGATCTCAAGTGCCTCCTAGTAATGGACAATGCACCTGCTCATCCTCCAAACTTGGATGACCTAATTCTGCAGGAGTTTGGGTTCATCACAGTAAAGTTCTTGCCCCCGAATACCACTCCTCTCCTTCAGCCCATGGACCAGCAGGTCATTTCAAACTTTAAAAAACTCTACACCAAAGCAATGTTTCAAAGGTGCTTTAATGTGACATCACACACTCACTTGACCCTAAGAGAGTTTTGGAAAGAACACTTCAGTATCCTCCATTGCATAAGCCTTATAGGTAAGGCTTGGGAGGGCATGACTACCAGGACTTTGAACTCTGCTTGGAGAAAACTGTGGCCAGATTGTGTCCACAAGAGGGATTTTGAAGGGTATGTGGCTGACCCTGATGAGCCTATGTCAGTTGTGAACTCAATTGTGGCATTGGGGAGTTCCATGGGGTTGGATGTGAGTTTGGAGGATGTGGAAGAGTTGGTGGAGGACCACAACGAAGAGCTACCCACTGAGGAGCTGCAAGAGCTTCAGCAGGAACAGCAATAGAATGCAGCTCAGAATCTTGCTGCAGAGGAGGAGGAAGAGAGATGGAAGGTGCCTTCTTCAGAAATTAAGGAGATTTTTGAAATGTGGGGTAGGATGAAAAGATTTATGGAGAAACATCACCCCGAGAAGGATGTTGCAAGCCATATCAGCAACTTGTACAGTGACAGAGTCTTGGCCCATTTTAGGGAAGTTTTAAAGAGACGCCAGAAACAGAGCTCTCTGGATACTTTTTTTGCGAGACAGGACTCCAGTGACTCTCAAGCTAGCCCTAGTGGCATTAAGAAACAGAGAAGAGAAGTAACCCCAGAAAAGGACTTGGTACCTAAGGTGTTGATGGAAGGGGATTCCCCTTCCAAACAGTAACTAATCCAATCTCTCTCCTCCTCCAGTCTTCCATACACTAAGAAGAATCACCAATAAAGGTAAGTGTTATGCTGTTAATGTTTCATTCATCATGTCCCATTGTACTGTTTATGTACTACATCTATATTTCATGTAAAAAAATTTTTTGTTTTAATACTTCTGGGTGTCAGGAATGGATTAATTGTATTTACATTATTTCTTATGGGGAAAATTGATTCGAAAATCGTCTTTTTCGATAATCGTCGCACCTCCAGGAACGGATTAACGACGATAAACGAGGGACCACTGTATTTGGGAGATGACATGTCAGCAGAAGTCTATGCAAGAGGAGATGAACCACAGAATAGATGAGAAAAATGGTAAGTGTATTCACCTACAGGTGGTTGCAGGGGTCGAGTCCTAGCTCTTGGCCCTGCCCACCAACTTGCTTCTATTAAAATGGTATAAAATACCGACAGGTTGTTAGGTAAGACACATATGCAACAGTTAGGTATCTTTATTTCGAAACGTTTCGCCTACACAGTAGGCTTCTTCAGTCGAGTACAGAAAAGTTGATAGAAGCAGAAGAGACTTGAAGACGATGTAATCAGTCCATCACCCTTAAAGTTTTGAGGTGGTCAGTCCCTCAGTCTGGAGAAGAGCATTGTCCCATAGTATGAAACAATATGGAGATGAAGTGACAGGATGGAGCCTTATATAGCGCCAGGAGGTGAGACGCAGGTCACTAGAAGAGGTAAGAACACAGATGTTGGGAGGTCAGGTCCCTCTCAAATCCAGCCGCTCCCACCAGTAGAGATTGTCGAAGTTGATTGCAGGTCTGTACCAAGATACCCTTGTTTTGCAGTGCCTGACAGATTGAACATTAAAATACTATGGGACAATGCTCTTCTCCAGACTGAGGGACTGACCACCTCAAAACTTTAAGGGTGATGGACTGATTACATCGTCTTCAAGTCTCTTCTGCTTCTTTCAACTTTTCTGTACTCGACTGAAGAAGCCTACTGTGTAGGCGAAACGTTTCGAAATAAAGATACCTAACTGTTGCATATGTGTCTTACCTAACAACTTGCTGCTAGCCTGAATCACTCCCTCCTAGCTTCATGGGCCTTAACTGCTCATAAAACTATACATGAAACCTGTCCCCACCCCTTCAAAGTGACCTGTGAGACTGAAGAAATACTTCCTGATACCCACAGTTCATCTATAACATTCAGCTGTGTCCCCAAGTACAGGTGCACCTCACTTTATAGTGTTTTGCTAATGCAGCAGTTTTCAATTATACCTATTCTTCCTTTATTCAGACTTCCTACAATAAATATATTCACCATTCACACAGGCAGACAGATAAACAGACAGACATGTTCATGTGTAACAGTGAAAACAAATAAAGCCAGGGTTTCCTGCAGCAGTGCACAATCAAGAAGTGTAACAACTCCACTGCTTACCCTGTCAGCAGTTTAATAACACTTGTCTTAACACTATGCTTCAAGCAGTTTAATATATACTCCAGCATGTCTAAAACAATGCTGGAACCTATAAATACTTTGTATATATTCCTAGACAATAGTAAATGACTAAGGCAGGTGTAAATGTTCACCTGTCAGTGTGTTTGTGACAATTTGAGTACAATTTCAGTACCTAATATTAGTGTCACAACAAAGATTGGCTATGAAATCACAAGAACTACTATAAATTGTAATTATCAGAACATAAAAATTATATAAGATATAAAAACGAGAAAAAAAAGGGTATATTGGCAACACTTCTGCAAGCGGCAGGACTCAATGTTGTTGTCAGGTGAGTATCCAGTGCCAACTTTGCTGTCTTGTATCTCAGTAAGTACTGGTCCTAGAAGAATTTTTTTTTTCTTGGTCTTATTACACACAGAAAATTACCCTCTTTAATTAAAAAAAAAAAAAAAATCGGAGCACTGGGCAAGTGAATGTAGATCTATGTTTGGACAGTTAATGGGTTAACGGAAGAGGTAAAGAAGCAACCAGCAGACTTGTGTGAGCATGTTGGATAGGAGGGAATGGAGAAGAGATGTGCTAGAGTGCAAGCAAGGTAACATTTATGAAGAGATCCAAGGAAATTGCTTAGCCAGACTTAAGTTCTGGAGGTGGGAAGGGCAGTGCCTGCACTCGGAAGAAGGAAATGTTGCAGTTGAGTGTAATCTGAATTGTATGTCTGCCCATTTCTTGAAAGACAGCAACTGAATGAATGACTGTGAATATATTTTCTTTTTCAAGTCATCCTGCCTTAGCCCCCCTCCCCACACACAATTTCTTTTACATCAATGGTGATCTTCCACAAATGCAGGGTGAATCCCCCCCTAGTGACAAACACCAACAGTGAACAAGACAATAAGTTGCAGTGAGCATGCAAAGGCTGGAAGGTTATACAAAATACAATGAGAAATAGGCCAAAATTTAAGAAAAAGAAAAATATTAAAAAATAATGCTTACCTTGGACAATATCATTAATTATAGCTGCAAATGTTTGCTGAGGGATTTCCTTTTTGAAGCCCTTGACAAACTTGAAGAGAGAGACATCTTGTACACTTCTCTCTTCCATTGAATTAGAGCTTCTCACACTGCATTTTGCACTTACATTTTCCATTAGCAGAAAGATGTACTTCAGTTCACTGATGCGCCCTCTTATTTTGGCATCTACTGCTGCTGCCATGCATTTTGTAAAATCTCGACCCTGTTTTAAGATATGAAATGTACTACCATAACTTAATGTTTTAACAATACTGTTTTATATTACTTTAATTATCTATTTGTATCTAAACAACCCATCTTATATTCTACACCAAATTTAGGAAATGAAACAATGCTCATCAATATTACTATATTTTGAGAAATTAAATTGCACTTGATATAATCAACCATTCAGGGATTACCACCTATCAACATTATCCTATACAACCAGTTTTAGACCTCCCTACAGCTTTCCATTCAGTCTGGCCTCCTTCCATTCCATATTTCCCAAAGGTCTGTATCCTATTCACAACACAAGCCTTGGGAAAGGTGGCAGTCTTTATGGTTTCCTGACCCAAGTGGCAAAAAATTTCTTTAAAATGTAGTGCGTGTGTTCTGCACAGTGTTCCTGATGAATCACTTGGAAATCCTACTAACAGAGGAGGCATCTATAATTTAAAGTCAGCATTTTATATGGTACTAAAGCAGGGAAACCCTATATGGTTTAGAGATTTTTGTAGAACAGCTGAGAAGTCTCAGCAGTATGGGTGCAATCATAGGATTTACCATTTAAAGCACTAAGCAAAACCTTCCTTCCTGAGGTTAGGGCGTGGTTGTATCAACCTTCTTGTTAAGCAGAAAAGTCCTGGTCACTGCATGTATGCCTAATCGTATCAATAATCACCTTTGACATAGGCAACATTACAATACAGCCTCTCCTCACTTAGCGATGTACTTGTTTACCAATGCCTTGGACTAACGAAGGGCTCTCTGACCAGTATGCATACCTATATAATATATAAGGCTCTCTGACCAGTATGCATAATAATATAATATATAAGGCTCTCTGACGAGTATGCATACCTATATAATATATATTAGGGGTGATTTCCTATATTCTGTTTATTACAATATACAGTACACTACTGTATAAACATTTAAAAATATATCAGAAATGTTATAAATGGTGAAACGGTGACATTAAAACAATACCAAAGATGGTTGACACAAACTCCCTACCATTATAGTATGCTCCTCACTTAGCGATGAATTTGTTTACCGATGTGGTCTTAGGAACGGTACTCCATCATTAAGTGAGAAGAGTCTGTAATCGAACAAGTATTTATTTATCATTGTTGCTAAAACCAATACTAGAACTACAGGGAACCATTTATCCCAGATTGAAGGTGGCACTGTCCTGTCATTTTGGTGCGATACTCAGTTTTGTTTATACTGTTACAGCGTACAGTGTAGATGGCGCTGGAGAGGCACCTAAAGTCAGTACCTGATCAGCCAGGCTGTGGTTTGTACATTAGCCTGCATGCGACCAGCAGTAACAGCCTGGTTGATCAGACCCTGATCCACCAGCAGGCTCGGTAACAGACCTGGCTGCCAGGGCATTGATCCCGAAACCCTCTAGGTATGTATACTCCAGATATTACACCACGATTAACCCTTTCAGGGTCCGTGCCGTAGATCTACGGCTTTACGTTCAGGGTCCAAACCGTAGATCTACGCCATGAGCTCAGCTCACTCTGATAAGCTGTGAATGGTAAATTTGGGCCTAGATATGAGAGAAAACATCTATGTGGTATGTGTGCACCACATAAAAACAAATCCTGCAGCACACAGTGTATGAGAGAAAAAACTGAGACCGTAATTTTCAATTAACCCTTTGACTGTTTCCGACGTATAAATACGTCTTACGAGCCAATGTTTCTGACGTATTTATACGCATAAATTCTAGCAGCTTCAAATCAAGCAGGAGAAAGCTGGTAGGCCCACATGTGAGAGAATGGGTCTCCATGGTCAGTGTGCACCATATAAAAAAAATCGGGGAGCCAGTGGTGCATTGTGGGAATGCCATTTCAGTTGTCCTTTTTCAGCATGTCTAGCGGTAAGAAATATGTGATTCCCCAGCAAATCTGGGACTCTTCTCTTCCCAAGTGATGCTCTAACACAGATGGAAGTGTCAGTGAAGATCAATTTCATGATTTGGAGGAGTTTGAGACCAAAAGCAATGGAGGAGGAGGAGGGGAGGAAGAGGAGGAGGAGGAGGAGGAGGGAAGGAAGAGGAGGAGGAGGAGGAGGAGGAGGAGGAGGAGAAGAGAGGAGGAGGAGGAGGAGGAGGAGGAGGAAGAAGAAGATGTAATAATATTGTTCCCTTGAAGCAAGAAAAAAAAAAGTCCACCCCATGACAGTGACAAGATAAGGGGAGATAACATCTGATAAGAGCTGACTTTGATGAGCGTAAAGGAGGGTAATATTACATGACCATCGCCCTCCCTTTGTTTTTGCTGGTACACAAACATTTCTGTCTGTCTATTTGTCTGTCTGTCAAGCTCCCTGTCTGTCCATCTAGCTCTCTGTCTCAGAGAGAGCCACAAGACTGTGTCATCACGTTTACTCACATCTTCAAGCAGAGTATAGCACTTTGTCTGGATTTCTTGGGTTATCCTAGGTAATTTACACTATGTATACTTGTATTTATGTGTACCTGTGAGACAGAGATAGGCAGACAGATAGAAAGAGAGACAGATTGAAAGATATAGAATGAGGGAGAAAGATAATTAGATAGAATGGAGGAGGGGAAGCAGCATCCGACCCCATTGTTTTGACAGGCGGTAGGGGGAGTGACTAATGAGACAATATGTCACTTTGACAGCTGCCGACTTCTGACTCAAAACAATTATAAGCCACACACTCCATACAAGACAAGGAGGAGGAGAAGGAGGAGGAGGAGAAGGAGGAGGAGAAGAGGAGGAGGAGAAGGAGGAGGAGAAGGAGAAGGAGAAGGAGAAGGAGAAGGAGGAGGAGGAGGAGGAGGAGGAGGAGGAGGAGGAGGAGGAGGAGGAGGAGGAGGAGGAGGAGAAGGAGGAGGAGGAGGAGGAGGAGAAGGAGGAGAAGGAGGAGAAGGAGGAGAAGGAGGAGGAGGAGGAGGAGGAGGAGAAGGAGGAGGAGGAGGATGATTGTTTGTTTGTTTTTGTAAACAAGTTTTGTAAACAATATATTGATAATTGTTTGTGTGCTTATTGTGTTGTATACGAGTGTATATATATACATTGCACCTTACTTTGGTCTCATAGGCCACATAAGTTATGTGAAAAAATAAAATAGTGAAAAAAACAAAAAACCTTCAATTACAAGTAAACTAAAGTTTACCGGGTGAGCGGCAGTCCCCGCTGTTGCCATACGCGGCTCATTTTCTGCAAATTTCATGGCTCTATATCTCGGTAAGTACCGATGGCAAAAATTTTTTTTTGGACTAAAACACTCAGAAAAATAATCTTAACATTTTCATAAGAAAAAATAATTTTTTTTTTTTGAATATTTGGCGACATAGAATGACAGTTTCAGAGAGGGGCCTGAAACAGTCAAAGGGTTAAAACAGCGACTTTGCAGTGTTTTTTCGTATGTTTTTTTATAGTTGTATTTGCGATTTCTTGGTCTCATTTGATAGAATGGAAGACATGTTACAGAAATAGAGATGATTTTGATTGGTTTTAGCACTGGAAATGGCTTGAAACTGAGCTCAAAGTAGCGGAAATGTTAAATTTTTGCAGTTGTTCAAGAGTAAACAAACGACCTCACACGTCTAATACACGCCAGCTGGTGGGTCTAATATACATTCACAAATGTGGTGATGATATTTATACAATTATTACAATACTGCTTTTAAGAACATAAGAACATAAGAAAAGGAGGAACACTGCAGGAGGCCTGCTGGCCCATACTAGGCAGGTCCTTTACAATTCATCCCACTAACAAAACATTTGCCCAACCCAATTTTCAATGCCACCCAAGAAATAAGCTCTGATGTGAAAGTCCCACTCAAATCCAACCCCTCCCACTCATGTACTTATCCAACCTAGATTTGAAACTACCCAAAGTCCCAGCCTCAATAACCCAACTAGGTAGACTGTTCCACTCATCAACTACCCTATTTCCAAACCAATACTTTCCTATGTCCTTTCTAAATCTAAACTTACCTAATTTAAATCCATTACTGCGCGTTCTCTCTTGGAGAGACATCCTCAAGACCTTATTAATATCCCCTTTATTTATACCTATCTTCCACTTATTTCACTTCGATCAGGTCTCCCCTCATTCTTCGTCTAACAAGTGAATGTAACTTAAGAGTCTTCAATCTTTCTTCATAAGGAAGATTTCTGATGCTATGTATTAATTTAGTCATCCTACGCTGAATGTTTTCTAACGAATTTATGTCCATTTTGTAATACGGAGACCAGAACTGAGCTGCATAATCTAGGTGAGGCCTTACTAATGATGTATAAAGCTGCAGTATGACCTCTGGACTTCTGTTGCTTACACTTCTTGATATAAATCCCAGTAATCTATTTGCCTTATTACGTACGCTTAGGCATTGCTGTCTTGGTTTAAGGTTGCTGCTCACCACAACCCCCAAGTCCTTCTCGCAATCTGTATGGCTAAGTTCTACATCATTTAATTTATAAGTACTAGTGTTATGGGCACTCCCAAGCCTCAGAACCTTGCATTTATCTACATTGAACTGCATCTGCCACTTTTCTGACCAAGAATAGAGTTTGTTTAAATCCTCCTGAAGTTCCCTAACATCTACGTTTGAATCAATTATCCTACCTATCTTTGTGTCATCGGCGAATTTGCTCATATCACTAGTAATTCCCTCATCAAGATCATTGATATATATTATAAACAAACAACGGGCCAAGACTGATCCCTGTGGAACGCCACTTGTTACAGATCCCACTCGGATTTAACCCCATTTATGGAAAATCTCTGCTTCCTGTCAGTGAGCCATGACTCGATCCACGAGAGCACTTTTCCCCAATGCCATGAGCTGCCACTTTCTTTAACAGTCTATGGTGCGGAACTCTATCAAAAGCCTTACTAAAATCTAAGTAAATAATATCAAATTCTTTATTGTGGTCAACAGCCTCAAAAGCTTTACTGAAGAAAGTTAATAAATTAGTTAGACAAGACCGGCCTCTTGTGAATCCATGCTGAGTATCATTAATCAAGCTATGCTTATCGAGATGGCTTCTTATAATCTCAGCTATAATTGACTCTAGTAATTTGCCTACAATTGAGGTCAGGCTTATTGGGCGGTAATTTGACGGTAACGACTTGTCCCCTGTTTTAAAAATAGGAGTTACATTAGCCATCTTCCACATATCAGGACACTACACCTGTTTGAAGAGATAAATTAAAAATATTAGTTAATGGTTCACAGAGTTCCATTTTGCATTCCTTAAAAACCCTTGAAAAAACCTCATCAGGACCTGGCGACTTATTTTGCTTCAGTCTGTCTATCTGCCTCACAACCATCTCACTAGTGACTGTGATGTTACATAATTTATCTTCTTCTAGCCCACTGTAAAAATTAATTACTGGAATATTGTTAGTGTCTTCCTGTGTAAAAACTGAGAGAAAATAATTATTTAAAATCAAGCACATTTCATTCTCTTTGTCAGTAAGGTGCCCATAGTTATTTTTAAGGGGACCTATCTTATCTCTAACTTTTGTTCAATAGACCTGGAAAAAACTTTTTGGGTTAGTTTTAGAATCCCTAGCAACTTTAATTTCATAGTCCCTTTTAGCTTTTCTTGTCCCCTTTTTAATGTCCCTCTTAATGTCAATATACTGATTCATAAGATGACCCTCACCTCTTTTGATACGCCTATAAATTCCTTTCTTTTGCCCTAGTAGATATTTGAGCCTATTATTCATCCATTTTGGGTCATTTCTATTTGATCTAATTTCTTTATATGGGATAAACGCTCTTTGAGCGTAAATCTTCTATTTTTTGGTTTGAATAAAAATTCATCATGTGAATAAAAAATCAAAATGGAATTAATTTGTAAAGCCTCAAAACATAACTAATGAACAGAGGAAATGTTAGTTTAGTGCCAGGAATACCTACATTGTTTATTCTGGACCCTATTTTGAAATTGGAATATTTTGAACTTTGTGTTAAATTGGCCAAATTACCAATTTCCGATCACTTTATTTTGTAGTTGAAACAGTTGACTTGGCGATTTCTTGTGCTCAATCGATAGAAAAGAAGTAATACTAGTGAAATAGCAAAGAATTTGGTCGATTGGAGTAATGTAATTGGCCTAAAATGGGAGTCAAAGTCAGCAAAATCGCCGAGCATAATTTCGTCAATTTTCCATCGAATTTCGTACTTTTTGTTTTATTTCCTTCAGAAAAATATTCTCTTAACATTTCATAAGGAAAAATAATTTTTTTTTTTTTTAAATTCTTGGACCCTGGTGCGCACTTTGAAATTTGGCCTCTGGACCCTGAAAGAGTTAAAACCAAAGTATGGCACAAAATTCCACTTCTCCCTATTTTATCCCCTTCAGGGTCCAAGGCCCAAATCTGAAGTGGTGCCCCAGTGTCCAAGAATTTAAAAAAAAAAAAAAAATTGTTATTTTTTCTTATGAAATGGTAGAGAATCTTTTTGTGAAGGTAATAAAACAAAAAGTACGAAATTTGATGGAAAATTCACGAAATTATGCTCTCGTGAATTTTGATGTGTCAGCGATATTTACGAATCGGCGATTTTGCCGACTTTGACTCCCATTTTAGGCCAATTACATTATTCCAGTCAACCAAATTCTTAGCTATTTCACTAGTATTACTTCTATTCTATCGATTGAGCACAAGAAATCGCCAAGTCAACTGTTTCAACTACAAATTAAAGTGATCGGAAATTGTTAATTTGGCCAATTTAACACAAAGTTCAAAATATCCCAATTTCAAAATAGGGTCCAGAATAAACAATGTAGGTATTCCTGGAACTAAACTAACATTTCCTCTGTTCATTAGTTACGTTTTGAGGCTTTACAAATGAATTCCATTTTGATTTTTTATTCACATAATTTTTGAATTTTTATTCACACCAAAAAATAGAAGATTTACTGTTATGCAATATTGTAATAATTGTATAAATATCACCATATTTGAGAATGCATATTAGACCCACCAGCTGGTGTGTAGTAGACGTGTGAGGTCGTTTGTTTACTCTTGAATATCGGCAAAAATTTAACATTTCTGCTACTTTGAGCTCAGTTTCAAGCCATTTCCAGTGCTAAAACCAATCAAAATCATCTCTCTTTCTGTAATATGTCTTCCATTCTATCAAATGAGACCAAGAAATCGCAAATACAACTATAAAAAACATACAAAAAAACACTGCAGTTGCTGTTTTAATCGAAAAATCATGATTTCAGTTTTTTTTCTCTCATTATACACAACGTGCTGCAGGATCTGTTTTATGTGGTGCACACATACCACATAGATGTATGTATTCCCTCATATCTAGGCCCAAATGTACCACTCACAGTATCAGAGTGAGCTGAGCTCATGACATAGATCTACGGTTTGGACCCTGAACATAAAGCCGTAGATCTACGGGACGGACCCTCAAAGGGTTAATTGGCAAAACTGTGCTGGGTTAACTGCCCATAGGATTAGTGAGATATTTTCAGTGGACTGACTGACAACTAATTGATTCTTAGCCACATGGGAGACAGAGCTCAAGTCATTCTAATTTCCTTATAATAGACAAGGATATAACACTCCTCCAATCTCTCCATTTATCTCAAAGCCCATTAACCCTTTCAGGGTCGGTGTCGTACTAGTACGGCTTGCACGCCAGGGTTGGTGCTGAACTAGTACGCGTAAATTTTAGCGTCTTCAAATCTAGCGAGAGAAAGCTGGTAGGCCTACATATGAAACAATGGGTCTTTGTGGTCAGTGTGCACAGTATAAAAAAAAATCCTGCAGCAAACAGTGCAAAAAAACTCCAACCATGTTTTTGGTTTAAAAAAGCAAATTTGCAGTGTATTTTCGTATGGTATTTATGGTTGTATTCTCACTTTCCTGGTCTCATTTTATAGAATGGAAGACATATTACAGAAATTGAGATGATTTTGATTGGTTTCACAATGAAAAATACCTTGAAATTGAGCTCAAAGTAGCAGATATGTTTGATTTTTGCCAACATTCAAAAGTAAACAAATCATGCCACGAGTCCAATACACGTCAACTGAAGAGTCTAATATTCTTTCACAAGTACGATGATAATATTTATACCATTTCTACACTAATGCAGTAGTCTACATAACAGTAAATCTTCTATTTTTTGTAAGAATAAAAATTCAAAGTGGAAAGCAAAAGAAATGTAAGAGGGGCCTGAGGATGTGACTAATGAACAGAGAAAATGTTATTTTAGTGCCAGAAATGTCTGTCTGGTTTACTCTGGACCCTATTTAGAAATTGGCATCTCTTGAAATTTGTGTGAAATTGGTGAAATTGCCAACTTCTGACCAGTTTATTGGACAGTTGAAATCGGTAAATGAGTGGTTTCTTGTACTCATTCGATAGAACAAATGGAGTTCTAGTGAAATAGTTATGATTTCTGTCGACTGGTACATTGGAATTGGCCGAAAATAGGGATCAAAGTGGGCGAAATTGCCGATGCGTAAACATCATCGAGACTGCTAACTTCGCGAGAGCATAATTCCGTAAGTTTTCAATCAAATTTCATACTTTTGGTGTCATTATGATCAGGAAAAGATTCTCTATCATTTCATTTTTTTTTTTTTTTTTTTGAAAAATTTTTGACCCTGAGAACAAGTTTAGGAGAGGGTCTCTCGACCCTGAAAGGGTTAAGGAAAATCACAACATGGGATCTACATATACAAACTGCTCCAAGATAACAGAGGTACTGTATACCTGGAGAGGGTTTTGGGGGTCAACGCCCCTGCAGCCCAGTCTGTGACCAGGCCTCATGGTGAATCGGGGCCTGATCAGCCAGGGTGCTGATGTTGGCCACACACAACCCGGCGTACGAACCATAGTGTGGCTGGTCAGGTACTGACTTCAGGTGCCTGTTCAGTGCCTTCTTGAAGACAGCCAGGGGTGTATTGGTGTTATGGGGCCATAGGACCCAACATGTATTTATAAGTAACAGTTACTCTGGAATACCTAATTATATTGAATTGATGGGGACTTTGCTCTAAATGTCAGAAGGACTGATCAACCTTATGACTGAGGCAGCTGGGTCAAGCCTATTTTTCTCAATATAATAGGTTATACTATAGACACATAAACACACAAATTTAAATAAGTAGTTTATAAAGTTGTATTTCCTTTTGTAAAAGTAAAATTAAGGTGTGGTAGGATTGTGGTAACTGGAGAATTGTGCTTGGCAAATAAGTAGTTTATAAAGTTGTATTTCCTTTTGTAGAAGTAAAATTAAGGTGTGGTAGAATTGTGGTAACTGGAGAATTGTGCTTGGCAACAGTCTTTTGTTTTGGTGGGAGGAGCTTAGCCTCTTTCTCTCTCTCCCTCGCACTGACTCGGGCTCTCTGTGGCTGGCCTTCAACCTGGCAGGATCTCTGGGTCCTTCTTCTATCTTTTGGGGCATTATGTGTGCTCCAGGGGTGAGTTTTTTTTTATAATTTAAGTTGTGACCACCATACCCAGGGTGACTAAAGTGTGTCAAAACACTGGTTAGCCCAGAGTTATGTCAAGGAGAGAGAGAGGACTAAAGTTGTTGAGATATACCATGTGGGAGAACAGCTATGCAGTGTGTAGATCGTTGTTTTGAAAATGTGAGGCTGTAATTGTATATTCTGTACATATCTATTGAGAATACAGTTATATTTTTATAGTAGTAGTTTACATAACCTGTGAAGAGGGCTGGTGAAAGGGTATCAGAGACACTCAGGATGATCAGCCATGATGTAAGTATTACCCCTAGACAAATAAGACCATTAAGTAAAAGCTACCCCACACTAGAACATGTAGTGAGAACCTTACTATCAAAGTAATAAGGGACTACCAACGTAACAATTGGTAATCCCTCTTATGTATGCTGGAAGACAGTTGAACAGTCTTGGGCCCCTGATACTTAATGTCTTGTCTCTTAGTGTTATAGTGGCACCCCTGCTTTTCATTGTGGGGATGTTGCATCGTCTGTCGAGTCTTTTGCTTTCGTGGGGGGTGATTTTTGTGTGCAAGTTTGGTACTAATCCCTCTAGGATTTTCCAAATGTGTATATTCATGTATTTCTCCCGCCTGCATTCTAGGGAGTACAGATTGAGGAACTTCAAGCGTTCTCAGTAATTTGGTGTTTTATCGTAGTTGTGTGCCATGAAGGTTCTCTGTACATTTTCTAGGTCAGCAAATTCACCTGCCCTGAAAGGTGCTGTTAGTGTGCAGCAATATTCCAGCCTAGATAGAATAAGTGACCTGAAGAGTATCATGGGCTTGGCTGTGTGGCCCGGTGGCCTGGTGGCTAAAGCTCCCGCTTCACACACAGAGGGCCCGGGTTCGATTCCCGGCGAGTGGAAACATTTCCTTACACCTGTTGTCCTGTTCACCTAGCAGCAAATAGGTACCTGGGTGTTAGTCGACTGGTGTGGGTCGCATCCTGGGGGACAAGATTAAGGACCCCAATGGAAATAAGTTAGACAGTCCTCGATGACACACTGACTTTCTTTGGTTATCCTGGGTGGCTAACCCTCCGGGGTTAAAAATCCGAACGAAGTCTTATCTTATCCCTAGTTTTGAAGGTTCTCATTATCCATCCTATCATTTTTGTAGCAGATGAGATTGATACACTGTTATGATCTTTGAAGGCGAGATCCTCTGACATGATAGCTCCCAGGTCTTTTACATTATTTTTTTGCTCTATTGTGTGGTTGAATTTGTTATATAATCCGACGTAGTTTTAATTTCCTCATGTTTACCATATTGGAGTAATTGAAATTTCTCATCATTGAACTTCATATCGTTTTTCTGCAGCCCATTTAAAGATATGGTTGTCTGCCCGAGTCTTGCGGTGTCTTCAATGGAGGACACTGTCATGCAAATTCGGGTGTCATCTACAAAGGAAGACATGGTGCTGTGGCTTACATCCCTCTATATGTCAGATATGAGGATGAGGAACAGGATGGGAGCGAGTACTGTGCCTTGTGGAACAGAACTTTTCACCGTAGCTGCCTCAGACTATACTCCGTTTACTACTACTCTTTGTGTTCTATTTGTTAGGAAATTATGGATCCATCTACCAACTTTTCCTGTTATTCCTTTATCACACATTTTGTGCAGTATTAACCCTTTGAGGGTCGACAGGCCCTCTCCAAAACTCGTTCTCAGGGTCGGCCAAATTTAAAAAAAAAAAAAAAATTATTTTCTCTTATGAAAAGATAGAGAATCTTTTCCTGATCATAAAGACACCAAAAGTTTGAAATTTGATAGAAAACTTACGGAATTATGCTCTCGCAAAGTTAGCAGTCTCGGCGATGTTTACGCATCGGCGATTTTGCCCACTTTGAGCCCCATTTTTGGCCAATTTCGCTGTACTAGTCGACAAAAAACATGAATATTTCGCTAGAACTCCATTTTTTTCTATCGAATGGGTGAAAAAACCACCCATTTATGAAATTCAACTATCCAGTACAGTGGTCAGAATTTAGCAATTTTGCCAATTTCACACAAATTTCAAAAGATGCCAATTTCCGAATAGGGTCCAGAATAAACAAGAAAGACATTCCTGGCACTAAAATGACATTTCCTCTAGTCATTAGTCACGTCTCAAGGCCCCTCTTATATTCTTTTGCTTTCCATTTTGAATTTTTATTCTCACAAAAAATATAAGATTTACTGTTATGCAGACTACTGCATTAGTGTAAAAAATGGTATAAATATTATTGGTGCACTGTAAAAGAATATTAGACTCACCAGTTGACGTGTATTGCACGCTTGGCACGATTTGTTTACTTTTGAAGTTTGGTAAAAATCGAACATTTCTGCTACTTTGAGCTCAATTTCAAGGCACCTTTCATTGTAAAACCAGCCAAAATCATCTCAATTTCTGTAATATGTCTTCCATTCTATAAAATGAGACCAAGAAAACTAGAATACAACAATAAATACCATACGAAAATACACTGCAAAGTCGCTGATTTATTCCAAAAATATGGTCAAAGTTTTTTTTTTCTCATTATGCACTGTGTGCTGCAGGATTTTTTTTAGACTGTGCACACTGACCACATAGACCCATTCTTTCATATGAAGGCCTACCAGCTTTCTCCCACTAGATTTGAGGCCGCTAGAATTTATGCGTACTAGTACGTCAAAAACCCCTACGCGTAAGACGTACTAGTACGACGAAAACCCTCAAAGGGTTAAACCATGGTCACACTTCTCAAAGGCTTTTCCAAAGTCTGTGTATACTACATCTGCATTTTGCTTGTCTTCTAGAGTATCCAGGCCAATGGTATTGATGACTGGACAGACATTTTTCTTAACAAATTACTTAGACTATACAACAAACATTGTCCTATAAAAACGAAACAGATCACAAACAAATGGCTTGGTTGCCCATGGCTAACCAGCACCATGCTGAAATCCATTGACAAGAAACACCAATATAAAAAGCAATACAGACAGGGCTTAATACACAAAGATATTCTTAAACACTATTCATCAGTTCTCACCAAAGTAATAAAGAAAGCCAAACAACTATACTACTCCAGTAGATTCACAGACACTAGAAAAGATATAAAAAAGACCTGGAAAACACACACTCAGATTCTAGGGACCCACAAACTGAAAAAAAACAAGAATATTGTCCTAACTAAACCTAATGAAACACCACTACATCCCACTGACACAACTAACAAGATAAACGACTTCTTCTCAACCATAGGATCTAATCTCGCCAATAAAATCCCACATACTAATGCCCATGCCGGGGACTACCTAGATGGGAATTTCCCAAATTCCTTCTATCTTGCACCAACTGAGCCCTCGGAAGTCACCGAGATTATAAAGTCACTTAAAAACAACTCAGGGAATCTGTCTAATGTCCCACCATTACTGTACAAGCGAGCGGCCCATATCCTTTCGCATGCTATTTCATTACTTTTTAACAAGTCACTAGAAACTAGCACCTTCCCGAAACAAGTCACTAGAAACTAGCACCTTCCCGAAACTACTCAAGATGGCAAGGGTTACACCAATACATAAAGGTGGTGACCCTACAGACTTAAACAACTATAGGCCAATATCAAACTTACCATTGCTATCCAAAATCTTCGAGAAACTCGTGCACAGGAGACTATATTCATTTATAACAGCACAAAACATATTCAACCCCTGCCAATTTGGATTTAGAAAAAATAAAAGCACTAATGATGCAATCATAAAAATGCTAGATCTGCTTTACACCGAATTGGAAAATAAGGAATATCCACTAGGAATTTTTATTGACCTAAGAAAAGCTTTTGACACAGTAGACCACGACATCCTACTCCACAAACTTGACCATTACGGTATAAGAGGCCATGCGCTTGCTTATTTCAAATCTTACCTTACTAATAGGTATCAGTATGTTACCATTAAAGACACAGCATCAACAATTCGGCCACTTGATACTGGAGTTCCGCAGGGAAGTGTCCTTGGTCCCCTGCTCTTCCTCATATACATCAATGATCTTCCAAACGTATCCCAACACTTGAAACCCATTCTCTTTGCTGACGACACGACTTATGTCATCTCTCACCCTAATCTTGCCACCCTCAACACCATTGTTAATGAGGAGCTGATCAAAATATCCACTTGGATGACAGCCAATAAACTTACGCTTAACACTGACAAAACCTACTATATTATGTTTGGTAGCAGAGCAGGAGATGCACAAATTAACATTAAGATCGACAACACTCTAATTACCAGACATAATGAGGGCAAATTCCTAGGCCTATACCTTGACAACAACCTGAATTTCAGCACCCATATCCAACACATAACCAAAAAAGTATCCAAAACAGTTGGGATCCTCTCCAAGATACGATACTACGTGCCGCAAAATGCCCTTCTCACACTATACCACTCACTTATTTATCCATACCTCACCTATGCTATTTGTGCTTGGGGATCAACTGCAGCAACACACCTAAAGCCAATAATAAACCCAACAAAAAGCTGCAGTAAGAATAATCACTAAATCCATCCCTGGCAACACACCCCCCCACTCTTCATAGATCTAAACTTACTCCCTGTTCAGTACATCCACACTTACTACTGTGCAATCTACATCTACAGGACCTTAAACTCCAATATCAACCTTGACCTAAAACGCTTTCTTGATAGTTGTGACAGAACCCACAGGCATAACACCAGACACAAACATCTCTATGACATTCCCCATGTCCGACTAAACCTTTACAAAAATTCAATGTATGTCCAAGGCCCTAAAATCTGGAACACCCTACCTGAGAACTCTAGAACTGCAGACACATTCACCACCTTCAAAACTACCATTAGAAAACATCTTATCTCCCTGATAAACCCCATCAACTAACTACCCGAATACCACCTGGTGGTTCACACTTACACTCACTCACCCATTTGACCATAAACAGAAATATTAATCTCAATCTTAAAATAATGAATCCTATGATACTCCAATACTGAAACTATGTACTGTGCCAAAACAAAAGCATTCACATTGCTAAACTCACAAACTAGTATTTAGTCACTTAGCCATAATACCAACTTACCTCATAATCTGTAATATTTTAAAATAAAGAATTAAACTAAGTCTGCCCAAAATGCCTAGCCATGCTAGGTGTTCTAGTAGTACACTCTGTAATCATTATT